TAATTTAATTAGTAGTATATCTTCAACATATTGATAATTTTTTTCTTTTGAAATTCCACAAAATGTGGCTTCCCCCGTCCCCTCGTTCTACAGTCGACTAAATTTCAATTAAACAAATAAAAAACAAAGACCATTGATGCCGCTGGGGTCACTAAAACCCCCAGAACTGAGCTTCTACTTCAGTAAATCCTTTTTGGTCTCTCTAATGACATCAAGGCAATCCCCAACCAACGACAACTACGATACCTTATTTTTAGATGCCAAAATCAAACGATCATAACCCGAATGACATCAGACAGATAGGACTGATCATAATGACTCAGAATGATTGGATAGGTGTAAACAAGAAGTGATCCCCGAATAATAATCTCTACATCGATAATTCATCGTGATTAATCAGTGGATATGTTCGGGGTGAAGGACAAGGTAGCGTACAGAAATGGAAGGAATTTTGGGGAGAGAAATGAGAAAATTGAGACGAGTTTTATTCGAGATTTTTGGAGAAAAATCAATATCAATGAGTGGACCTTCAGTTTATTTCTCCTCGGTCTGTCCTTGACGATTGTTGCTGTCAAACTTGTTGTCATGTATGGTGAGAGCATTATTTTTTTATAATTATATGTGATTATTCGTGATTTTTTAGTTTATGCTGACATTTTGATGACTAGACAGATTTTTGTGTTTGTTTTTCTTTCGTTTTTTGGTTTTGGGGGCTTGAGTGGTTTTATTTAGATTTCCTGGGGTCTGGGGCTGGGGCCAGAGGTTTTCTCTGGGTTCTGGAAATAATTTTCATGGGAGAAATCGAGAATGAAATCCCCTGTTTATTTTTGTTTATGCAGGAGGTGGGGGAATCCGCGGTTTTTTTTTCATCCGCGTTGAGGGAATTTCATTTTTTTTTTTTCATTATCAAGGGTTTTTCATGGGCTTCAAAATGAGGCGTCACTCAATCCAATCGGATCCTATTCCATGATATTTAGCGTTTTATTCTCGAGGGAGGGGAGTAACAATTGTAGGAGTTTGTGAAAAATTATTTTCACAGGCGAATTTCTGTCCCCAGGGTTTCTCTTGCCTACGAAAACGTACGTCCTTGTTAAAAACCCTAGTCAGTACCTCCTGGGGCTTGTCCCAGGCTTTGATAGGGGTGAGGACTTGGGAAATCACATGAGAGAGAATAAAGATGGTTTTTTCGAGAGTCTCGGTGAATTAATAGGAAAATTTGGATGGCTTGTCAAAGCAGCTGTCAGTGGAATCTCATTAATGGGTTTCACTTGGTTTATTGTTTACAAGGACAGCAGGATACCTGGTGTCAATCCACCGTCGCCCTTTAGTCCTGGCAAGAGAAAGTAAGTGACTTTCTTCAATGGATTTGTTATTCCTGGGCATTTGGAAATATATTGGAGAGTTCTCAAAATTATTTTTAATGCATGGATTGCATGTGTATTAATTACTAATCCCTGTAATTAATTGAAAAAAAAACTGACGTCGATAAACGAAACCTCAATATTTATTCTGCAAGTCTCTCATACCGTGATTATCTCGAGATACGCTCGTCCTATCAAAAAAAATCAGAGAAATATTTTGTGGAGGATATTCAGATCTACACAAAATTTCTCTATTATTTTTCCGTAAGACGGCTCCTTGCGGAGGTAATCGCGTTTTTTTTAATCATTAATCTTCAATTTTCAGTCGATTATCGTCAATTTTTATTTCAGGTTTCAGGACGACCCCCGAATTCAGATGAATTACCTGATAGGCGTTATCAATGGGCTTCTGATCTTCATCTACATGTGCTTCTAATGAATGATCAATGGGAATTCAACCGACCAGCAATTTGGCATCTGAATAATCGAGAGATATATTTTTTTTTTCAACGGAGGGATATCTGATTAATTTATTAATGGGATATATCATGTTTAATGATTTAAATAGTCAATATCCTCGTGGGGTGGAGGGGGGGTCAACCTCGGGCTTTGGGATATACACGTTTGCCAGTATTTATTTATTATTGAATTGAAAGTATTAGTTCATCGCAGATCTAAATATATTTATCTATTTATTCTGTCTGTCGAGAGTTCAAAGGTCCATCGACTGATTATCTGTTCATACTCAGGAGAGGATTCATCAATGTTATTAATTATTGTGTCTTTTGTGTCAATTCTTCGTGGAATGTAATTATTAATTAATTACAGGAGAAGATATCTACTTAATGGTAATGAAGTTCAATATTTTGGGATATTTCTACATTGAATAAAAAATGGTTGAAGAGAAGTGGCGCATGCTTTTTTATTTAATGTGTAAAAATTGTGTTTCAGGCATTTTCTCTTGTTTGCAATTTATAGAAAATTATTCAAAAAGATTCAGAGGGCATCGCGGGTCTCGGGTTCCTGATCGTAGGAGCTCATGATCTTCTCCATTATTTCCCACAGCTTCTCCCTGGTGAGATCCTTGCAAAAAACCTGTCAGAAATAAAAAAAAATGAAAAGTTTTGAGAATAAAAAAATTAATTGATGCCGACGATTCGATTAATTAATAAACTGACATTAAACCAGGGTAATTGATCGCACTCGTCCATGAGTGGCACGACGACCCCATAAATTTGAAGAGTTAAATTAATACAGGCGATGGCGATGAGGTTGGGTGGGTAATCGAGAATTGCTGGGACGTGGTGGAAATCCTGGAGCAATGCCATACTGGTCTTGGCCACTGGGTACTTGGACCACTCGTCCTCACCGAACCAAGCCTGAAGAGATCTCAAATAGTGGAGCAAATACTGCAATCAAAGTTCGATTAAAAAAAAATAGTACAATGTCAGACCATTAATTAATTTCACATGATAAATATAAAAAAAATAATTCACCTTATGCGGGTGGACAGGATTGACGTGGAATTTCAGCATTCTCATGACGAGTAATTCTGCTTGAACAATAGCATCTCTGATGCTCCAGTACTGATCCCCAAGTTCCAGGGGCTGGGAGCCTCGATGGAGAGTATTTGATGCCACATTCATTACGTCCCTGATCTTCAGGAGGTCGTCCTTTATTTTTGCTGCCAAGTACAGGCATGTGGCTGCTATCAGCTGTTATCAAATCGATTAATAGTAATTATCAGGCAAGAACACATTAAAAATTCTGAATGATTCAGGAAAAATCTCTGGGCAAAACGACGAATTGATTAATTAATTTATTAATTCAATAATTCAATTTAATTCCGTACGTAGTGATCGTAGGCTTTTGCTGTTGATTCTCTGATGAATCTGTGATACAATGTTGCAGCTGTGGCAACTGTCAGGGGATGTGCCTCCAATTTCATTCCTAATAATTATAATAAATTAAATTATGAGATGAAATAATGCGTTTAATGAAATGAAAGAATAGTCTGAGGGCCTCACCACATTCGAAAATAAATCGAGCGACTGTGAAACTGTCATTTGAACTCGTGTAATCCATCGTTATACTTTTTTGCAGAGAACTCCTCTTCTCTCTTTGCATTGCCAGTACATCAATAACATCCATCATTTTTGAACTAATAAATATCATCGATTGTAATTAAACTGAACAAAAGGCGATAATAAACTCGATTCAATTAATTACTTAAACTACGTCGTTCAATCCTGGACATGTCCTGAGAAGGATTTTACAACAGAATTATGATAATAAATACTGGATTTTTCAGGATTACCTAACATATCACCCCCAAGAATTAAATTTCGAATAATCGAGGAAAACACTTGAAGAATTCCATCAAGTTCATACAAGAAATTATCAATAGAACAATTAATTTATGAAATTGAAAAGGCTAGAAGAAATAATTAGTGCCCAAGGTGAATAATTAAATGAAAATCGACTCCAGGGTATGAAAATGTCTTCAGAAATTCCAACGGGGGTTTTATTATCCTCAGGTTATGTTTTTGGGAGTCTATTTACCTCAGAGTTTCAGTGTTACGTGGCTCTGAAGGATTCATGTTAATTAAACAAATGAGACTTGCTCAAACTTAATAAAAGAAAAATTAACCAGTTCAATCAATACACACGGTAATTAATTATTATTTACTTTCTTCGGTGTCTAGGCCTCTCGCGCATATAAACAAATCGATCTCTGGAAGTTTTATTGAAAAAGTTCACTACTTTATCAACAAAAATGGCGATCCCTTCTAAAGTTGTTCGTCAAGTTCGACCACTTTTGTCTGTTAATAACAAAGAGGCTCACAGGAGAGTTATTAATTTATACAGGGCATGGTACAGGCAAATTCCCTACATAAGTGAGTACATTGTTTATAATAATATCTCATTTATAATTCCAGATTTTAGGAAAAATATTCACCAGTGGGTCTAACCTTTAATGATTTTTTCCAATGACAAAATCTTTTTCATGGTCTCTTGTTATTGTTTGTAATAATTAATTATTCATTCATCTGGGTCCTGGGCATTTTAAATAATTTTATTTCACTGATCTACGGGGCTTTGGGGTTTGTATTCTTTTTGTTTAATCCATTTGTTATGTAAACGTTTGTTGTTTTAGATCTGGAGTATGATATTCCCAAGACAGAAAAAGATTTGAGACAGAAACTGCGAGATGAATTTTGCAAGCACAAGGATGTGAAGGATATTCGAATTGTTGATATGCTAGTCATCAAGGTCTCAATTTATTTATCCACTCAATATTTTAACATTACATTTGAAATCATTATTGAAAGAATAATTAATCTTGTATTTATTCATTTTCATTAATTTATGGAGGAATTGGTTTGATTCAGGGGCAAATGGATCTTCAAGAAGTCGCACAGAAATGGAAAAACGCTGGGACATTTATGTACGCGTTCAAAGACACGGTAGAGAAAAAACCCACGGACTTCATGTCGAAATTCCTTGCAGGCCAGGATTAATATATTTCCCCTCCAAAAAATCATAGTTATTCAATTCTTGCGAAGAAACCAGAGTAAAATCCAATAAAATGTACATATAACACAGAATTCCCACGTTTTTCTCAATTATCTGGAGAATTCTCTCCCCACAAAAGGTGACAAAAAAAAAAAACAATCCAATGTGCCATGAGTTCCTGGAGGAGTTCCATGGGTTCGGAAATTTGGAAAAATCGATTTTTTTTGGCTTGTCAATGAGAGATGTCTCAAATATTTTATTGACCACTGGAAAATCAATTGGGAATTGAATTTCCTTTTCGTTATGAAAAATTATCCTTTATTTTCTCATTTATGAATAAAGATTATGCGGGTTTATTATGTACAGTCATGAACCACTAGTGCATTATCCACAGGAAAAAATTGACAATGCGAAATAAAAAAAAATCGAAGAGAACACTGTCATGGCCAGACGAGTTTTCAAATTGGAAGAAGTTTTTTCGTTGTTAGTGCACAGCAATTCAGCACCACGAGAGGTAAATTATACAAACCAACACTTAATCGTTAAGATACTACACAATAATCTCACATAAGTAGGAAAAATATATCTTATAAAAATTCTCTTCAATTTATCACTAAAATCACCGGGAAAGGCTCCTACTGAGGATAAAATTCCAATTGAACAATGTAAGCAATTAAAAAAATACTCTCGTCGACTTTAGTCAACGGCATTCGTGATTTTGGCACGATAATCGCATGAGACAGGCGGACGTAGGGATGAGGAATAATTAATTATCAACTAGGAACGCAACTCCTGGACTCCGAGAGTCAGTGACGTGATCTCCCGGACAATCATCTCAGCGATTTTCCACGCGAGTTCCTCTTTTGCCTTATCCTGCTCCAGATGAATGAATCTTTTCACAGCTCTCGACAATCTCGACTCTGAACAAACTCGAAATCATTACCTAATAAAATTAATTACCGACAATTGTAATTTTCTCATCAATAAACGACGTACCGTATTTTCTCTGGGGATCAGGATCAATTTCCGTGACGAATCTCCCCAAATTATCGACATACCCAACGCTCAAACTATCAAAAACGAAAGAAGATCATTAGAATTATTTATAATATATTCAGATTTATTGTAATTAAAGAGATTCCACCTGCACTTTGTACGCCTCCACAAGGAGTCAGGATCGTACAGCTGTCTAGCATCAATGCTCATGCTCCCATTCATCTTCTTCTTGTTCGAGATATTAATATCATCAGAATGTGAATTCGTCGATGTGTCGTGTGTTCCAATGCTGAGAGTGCTGATTTCACTGCTGCAATCTGACCCTGAGACAATTTAATGATAACAACTTCCTAAAAACTACTCTAATGGCTAAAAAAAAATATTAAATCACGTGATCGGCGTGAAATTATTTACCTGCCCGTTTGACTCGTGGATGTGCACACGCACTGCTCTGAATTGTGCTGATTAACTCGGAGAGGTATTTGTAGTAGAGTTGAGAAGATAAGAACGCGGGTAGATAATGCTAAACGAGTGATAAGAACTGTTAGCATTGTGGGTAAAAATATAGATTGGTGTATTCACCTTGTTGAGAAAATTATATACAATGAAACAGGGTTTTTCGAAGCAGTCAGCCTGGGGGCCGTCTCCACGCTCCGTACAGATATTCTGCTCGACCTGGAATCTTATTTTGTCGGTGAAACCCAGGGGCATCGTCGCCTGGAGACTAAAATACCTGCGGATTTTGACATTGAGTGATTGTGAAGTGAATTTTTTCAATGGAAATCTCGGTGTAAAAAATTTTAAAAAGCCTGTAGAATGCCCAGCGATAGAAAATTAAATTACTTCTCGTAGATGATGAGGGCGTCACTCTGAGCCTCCAGAGGGTCATCGCACCCTTTTTCCATCAAGTTCTGCTTGTAGCTGACGGCTGACATCCAGAAATCGAGCAATTCTCGTTTATTCTCCAGCTCCATAAACTGGAATTAAATGGGAGATTGATTAAATGGGGGAATTCTATGGAAGAAAGGGTCGTTGATGCTCTGGATACCTCCATGAAGTAGAAGAAAGCTGTTTCATTAAACAGAATGTCCGCGAGTTTGACGTCTCCACTTGTCAACACGTCGATCTGATGTTTGCAGTGGAATTCACTCCTCAAAAAGTCCTCAATGAATCTGAAAAAAATGATAAGTGTCGATTAGATCAGTCCTGGATCTCTCGATTGATGATTAACTGGTTCTAACTCGTCTTTGAGAACGCGGAAAATCCTCTCCTGGACCTGGAGTAGTCCATTAATAAGCCCCTGATGATCAGAATTCGCGACAGCTTCCTCCATCTGACTCCTGAGCGCCAAATCGAGATTAACCTTCAGGGTATCCTTAACAATATATCTATTGTAGACCCTGAGAGCATCCTGGACTACCCCAGAGCCCCCAGACTCCTCGTCAATGCTCCTCCAGGCTCTAAACCTATTCTTTGGTACCTCAACATCATTTTTATTTACACTCTCTCCCGGATTATTGGGATGGTACCCATGGAGATTATCATCTGTCCCCCGAAAGCACTCGACCTCCATCCAACACTTGATGACAGCCAGTCTGTTTCTGCTCTCCATGAACTGGAGGAAGTAACCCAGTGCATCCTTGTCGTTGAGGATCTCGGGGAGACTCTTGGAGAGTCTCGACGTGCAGATCTCGAGTTTGAGGCTCGATACCGACTCCTCCTCGTCATCCTCCTCCTCTTCGAGACTGTGACAGCAGACGGCCTGAACTTTCGAGACTCTCCCATCACCTCCTGGGGGCCTCTCGAGATTCGGCGAGGTCGCTGGAGAGCTGGGGGATGATCGAGACTTCTCTTTTGATCCTGAAACCCATCGAATTCACTTTCCGACATAAATAATCAGTCCCTCGAGATTAACCTCAAACACATCCAGCATCACAGGATTATCTAGTGATCAATCGCGTTATCAATCATCACTCGCAATTGTTCGAGGGAAATTCCTCGAGGGCTTACCTGACTTTTTAAAAAATTGTAGCATCATTATTCACTGCTGGAATCATCGTAAACAAATCCTATGTAAACATGAAGGTTCCCAACGCGACGTCACGTTTCTCTTATCCAGAAATCATCCACTTGTTTCCTCGATCACTTTGTAAAAATCGTCATCCGATGATCCAGGAAAAAATCGTCGAAAACCGGTGGAATTTTCAGGTCAGTTCATTGTTGTCGATTTTTCGTTCATGTGATCTTATTTATTTATCGTAAATGTCAATGGGCTGCGAGACGGAAGTTCCCGGAGAGACCCGAGGATCAGCGGAAATTTTGAAATTTAATTTTGCCCGATTATGGAGAGAAATTAATTAATAATTGATGGAAAAATAATTATATCGGTGATTGACGTTTTTTGAAAGTCGGGGTTTTTTTATTTTCGATTTATCACGGAGAATAGTGATCTAGGAGAAAATGTCAAAGGACCTTTTTTGTAGCTAGGGATATTATCCACAAAAAAGGTCTTGTGGAATTTTTATCTGAAATCCTCCATTGCCGAGTTAATTACTCCTTTCGAAGGGCAGAGCAATAAAATGAGAGACTCTCCTCGAGAATTCCCTCCCCAGACTGCCATCTTCCCCTGGACAACATCCAAGGACGATCCTGGAGACGATCCAAAACATCCCGTTAATCCCTAAACCTGGAATAATCCTGCGGTCAATGTCCGGTCACTGGGAGTCACCGCTGAATACCGGTTTACCACTCGTTAAAGTGTGAACGTCTGTTCACTCTCGTCTCACGGTTCATCGTGTCAAGTTCGTTCTGTAGATTATTATAAAAATTACCAACGGAGATGCTCTTTCCATCTTTACTAATCACCCTGGCCTGGACAGCATCTGCCAAGCCAATGGCATACGATCAACGACAGACGGGAGATGTAAACGTTCAGATTCACCTGAAAGATCTCCAAGTCGTTGCACTCATTGATACCGAAGCCCTCGAAGATTATATGGTACAAAAATAATTTATTACTATAAAAAATAATAAATAATTCGACATTGTCGGGATTATTTATTTTTAATTACAGGATTACAATTATTCGTACGATTACTCTGACTTCACAATTAAGCCGATGAAGCCTTCGACGAACTCCGGATCATCGACGACAGCTTCTGCGTGGCACACGTGGCCGACGAATCCTGCAAGCTCATCATCAAAGGCGAATTCCACCGAGGAATTACCTCCAGGTGTGACTACGCCGACCTCAGGGAATGTTTTCACCACTACACCGTCTCCTGGGGAGTCAGATGCAGAATTGATAGCTCCAGTCGATATTCCTTCATCATCAGCGGCTCCTGAGGCTTCTGGATCTCCTGGAGATGAGTTGGATGAGACTGTCCAGGGGACAGGATCAAAATCGCGGAGTCCGGGTGGATGCCAGGCGGGATATTACACCGACGCCAGGGGCAGATGCAAAAAAGGATCCCGAAGACGCGTTTCATTTCTCCCGTAAGAGTTTTAATCCTCTTTTTTATTTTCATCTTATTTCAATTGTGAATTTCCCCCAGGTTTGCCCTCAGGATGCTGCCGAAACGCCTGGGGACTCAGCGGTCGACGTGAATTTTTAATGCTTGATAAATAATTGAATTGTGATTATTAATGCTCAATAAATAAAATTTTATAGTTCGTCTGTGATTTCTACTGGGGGCAGAGGATAATTTTCATGGGTATAATAAATCCTGGGGCGGTCCAGGATGCGGGGATTCTGGGGACGTCCTCAAGGACGAGTAACTGATCGAAGCTCCCAATTATCCCTACCCCGAACGTCAATACAATCGCTATCAATCAGTGACCCCAACTTCATCGGACCTTGACCATCCCCCACCCTGTGGACCCGATTCCTCTGTTCCGTTTGGCCAGGCACCTCTCAAGACTCCGGCAGTTGTGATCAGACCATCCCGAGATATGTATCTGCTGCTTGTATTCGCATTCCTCGCCCTGGCGAACTCATCACCAGTCAAATACGATCAGCGACAGGATGGCAAGTTGAACGTTCACGCAAAATTGGAAAATCTTCTCCTGATTGTTGCACCCTCTGGCTCTCATCCTGGCTCGATCGATTTCGATCTCCCTGGGATTCTTGAGCACGAGCTCGACTTCAGGTCTGCGGCCCAGGAAAATGGAAAAACCTCACAACCTGGGGACCACTTCCAGGAGATCGGGGAACACCACCAGTTCCAGAAAGATGAGCTCAAACTCATCGGCGATGCCATCGAAAATTGCGGACCTGGCAGGTACCGCGATTCTGTTGGCATCTGCCGATCTGAGGAATCCGGTGCATTGAAAAATTAAAGGAGATCGTGAATTTTAATTAGTCGTAATCATTGAATTATAATTATAAATGATTTTTATATTCAAAAGAAATTCGTGTTTGGAATGAATTTCCGATTTTTATATTAAAAATTAAAGAATTTTGTATTTTTATTTTAAATATTGAATAAATATATGAATATAATTTTTATATAACTATAAATATTATTTTTATTTCCCTTTCTCTAGTAGAATAAATAATGCGACATGTTTTCTCAGGTATAGACACCTCTCCAACAGGTTCTTCCAATAAAAAATTATTATTTAAATTTCTCGCGGAATTTGCGGAATTCAGTCCTTGAAAATTGCCAATGCGAATCTTTTGTTCAATTTAATATTCAAAATTGAAATAAAAAAATGGAAAAAGTCCTTCATCTCCAGGAGACGATCTCCCTGGAATCCCATTATTCCCCTCCAGCGCAAACAAACCGCGAGAATGTGACGTAACAGGCATTGACCTCCCCCTGAAGTTCACGAGAGTTCCTTGACCCAGGGGAGGGGGGAGAGGGGATACTCTGGTGGGGGTATGGCTGGGTCACCTGGGGCCAGAGTGGTTCAGTGCTCCCCAGTGAGATCCTGTCTCTAGAGCCAGCAGGAGCTTCCAAATGGTGCAAATAAACATGCGAGTTTTCAAGATTATTTCACTCCTCCTCTCGATCCTGACCCTCACCAGGAGTTCCCCGGTGTCATCCCTCCGCCTGGAGCACCGGGAAGCCCCAGACGATGACGTGGACACCCCGACAACACCTCGACCTGTCATCAGCCCAGAGGACAGCTACGACCAACGCCAAAACGGCACCGAGAACTACCGGATTCACGTGGACGGTTTAGTAGTCGTCGTGGCACCTGTCGAGGCTCTTCTCCTCGCCGGTGGCATCCCAGACAATTTCTCGAGCATTCTGGTCCCTCCAGCCCCTGAGAAGCCCCTGGAGAAGCCCCTGGAGAAGCCCCAGGACGACCTCGAGCCCCTGAAACCCATCGAGAAGCCCAACGATGGAGAAAAACCACTGGAAGTCAAGAAAATATCCCACAGGTGAGTCTTCTCCGGTCATCACGAACTCCTGGTAATTATTTTTTATTTCCAGGGGAAATCTCAAGCTCATCAGCTTCCTCGCACCTCTTCTCAGACATCTTGGACGACAGTAAAAACTTTGAACCATCGAAGTCGCATTTTTTTATTGAAAAAATATTGAAGACAGTTTAAAAAAATCAAATGGAAGTAATTAATATTTAATCATTATCATTTGTAATGCCAATTAATTAATTACTCAATTAATTCGCTTCGAAAAATAGAATAATGGAATGTTATAATTTATTTGGATATTTTTAGTGCTAAAGTCGTATTCATTCATTTTAAATTGTCGTTTGTATTTTTTTCTTTTTATTATTAAAATGATATTTATTCATCTGAAATTACAATAAATACAGTTTATCATTCCCTGCTGTTTTTTAATTACGCAATTCCGGGGGTTCGATGGTACAAAAGATATTTGAAACTTATGGTCCTAGTTTTTACAATTATGATACATTTGGGTAATCTAGGTCATTGATCCACTGCTCATTAACGTAAAAGCGAGTAATTGGGAGATAAATGCAGTCTCATGGGAATTGGGGTAGTCTAGGAGTAGCTGAAGCCGGTGGGTCATTCCTGGCGTAGACTAGATCGGTTGAGCCTCATCTTCAAGATGCAATACCTTCGTTTTTCTGGAACAGATGATTTTTTATGGCATTATTTTATCAATTAATTACATGAGGACTCGGGGGGTAATTTTTAATTGGTAAAATTAATTCTGAATTAATTCAGATAATTTTCCCTCACCTCATTGCCCTGTTCTCTGCCCTCACCAGCAATTCTGGCCTCGAGCATTCCTTTTTCCTCCCTGAGTTCTTTGATGCAGGTGTCATTCTCCAGCTGAATGATCCTCAAGACCTTCAGCAATTTGGTAACAAGATTATCCACATCGATTACCTGATCGACGAGATTAACAGCTGTTCCATAGTCCTGAACCCTGTGAGCACTGTCCTCCTCCTCCTCATCGCCAGTGTCACCCTCCTCCTCGTCCTCAGCCCTTCGTCGATTTAGGATAGCCTGAGTGAGACTATTGAGGGATGAGAACTCCTCAGGACTCCTGTCACCCTCGTAACCCTCAAGTACACCATCAGGAACACTGAATCCCCTCCTGAGTGAATCACAACTGCTAACCATATTCCTGGTATAACCATCATGCAGAGGAACATCCTCGAGGACACTTTCCATCATGAGACAGGGCTCAGTCTCAAAGTCCAGAAGATCCTCGCTTTCGTCAGCCCTGAGCTCCCTGAACAATCCCTTACCCCCCTCGCACGACCTCTTCCCCACGAACGGATGTGTCGCAGCATTTCTGATAGCCCCGATGACAGCCGACACGAATGAATGCCTCTTGGGTGATGGCACGAGATTCAAAGACCTAGAGCTCACAGGTGACGACTCAGCACTGCTATTCGACTTCGAATACGCCTCATTGTGGTACACCACGTCCTCCAAATCCTTCTCCGATATTTTGTACGACTTGACGAGTTGATCGACAAGTCCCTCCAATCGATTACCCAATCCTGACAATGCAACACCAGCACCTGAGACTGCTGCACCCTGTGTCAGCAACAAATCCCGGCATTTTCTCTCGATTGCACTCATTCTCATCTCCAGGGAGAGATTCTCCTGTCGTCGTTGCTCGCTCATTCTCACCAGGTGTTTGCACTCCTCGGTTGAACGACGGATTTCCTCGTCTTTGGCAGTGATTGTGAGATTTTTCTGTTGGAGCTCTGCCTCCAGCTCCTTCATCGCCTCAGCCATTGCTGTTTTCTCCAGGTGGAGAAATTCCTGGAGCTCCAGAGTCTCGGCCTCCACCTCCTGCTGATGATGTAGTAGAGTCTTCTGAGCTGCCAGACTCTTCTCAAGGTCGCGATTTAACATTCTGCAGAGAGACTGCAGATTTGCTATTTCCACCTGTTGATTTGCCACCACCTGGCCTGATTCCTGGAAATGTGACTCGAGCTCCAGGAGGGAATCATTTCCCTCGTTCTCAGTATTCCCAAGGATCGCCTGAACCCTCTGCAAATTCTTCCCCAGCTCCATCCTGGTGAACTCGTGATCGGCCCTCTCATCCCCCAGCTCTCTCTTAGTGGCAGCTAGCTTCACCTCGAGCCTCTCCTTCTCTCTTCTCGCTTCGTCGAGCTGTCCCCTCAGGGTCTCATACATTGCCTCCGGTACGACGGACACCTCCGTCTGGGTATCCGAGGTTATCCTGTCTGGTACCTCTGGACCACTCCTCGTGGGTATTCCTTGTATCAATTGCTCGATATCCACATCGGTGAGTCCCGTCTGAACACTCACTTCGTGATAAATGACAGTTCTCTCAATTTTCGGCTTCACCAGGGAGCGCTTCCTGGAGAGCGATGGCTCTCGCGACTTCTTGTCATCCTGGATATTGAATTTTGATGGTCGTCTCCTGGGAAGTGTTCCGAACGTCTCGATTGTCTTGGTCTCGATTTTCTGGAGCTCGGATTTTCTCGTTTTATCGAGTGTTATCGATCTGGTGAGGAGCTTCGACGACCGGGGAGTGGGTGCGGAACGTTTGAGATCCTCCGAGGGTGTAGGAACAGGTGTTGTTCGGCATTTTGAGATGCTTGAGGCAGTTCCCCGGGTGATTCCCCTCTGGGAGAGATCCTTGTCGAGTTCCTTGGCGAGTGGAGACGCCAATGATAGAGTCAGAGTGTCGGGGAGAGGACGGGATCGACTCCTGGTGCGAGCCGGTGTAGCACCACACCAGGGTTTTGTCGTTTGTTTGGTTGGGGGTATGGGTTTAACGGATTGAGGACGGGATTTCAATCGAGATGGTTCACTCTGGGGTGTGGGTCGCGACCTGGACGTCTTCGCCGGGGGATTAGTGGGTTTTTTCTTGGGTGTTGGAGTGCACGGTGGGCGTTTTGAGGGTCGAGGTGTTGGTCGGGAGCCTGTGGAACCCGTCACCGATGAACTCTCACTTCCACCCTCCGACGTGTGCTCACCAGGTCGCGGAATTGGAGTGCGGGGCAATTCGTCGGGGAGTGTACCGCATGGATCCTCGTAAACTGAACTGCACGATACCAGACTGGAATCGCATGACACCTCGTCGAGGTTGTTAATGCTGCTGTAGCCGTTTACCCTGGGTATCTCCGTGGCGCAACCCTCCACCCCGGAATCACTTCCGTCCTTAGTATCCTTGTCCTTACCCTCCACCAGGGTATCCGTAACGTGAATTACCGTGATGTTGCAATCGCTGTTCATCGTGCCATTGGGGTCATCATCCTCGTCGTTCTCCGGGGAAGTCTTCGCCGACGGCGATGAGAGATCCTCTGGGACACCCGAGTCCTGACGACTCACGTACTGCGGTGACGCCGGCAGGCACAACTCCGGAATCTCCAGGTCAATTCCTTCGTTCATCTTCGGGGATGATTCATTCTGCAATCATACGTCATATTCTCATCGGTTCTTATCGAATCGACGATTAATAAAATTCTTGGGAATTTCTCGAGAAATTCTCATGGAATTCAAAAACCCAAAAAATATCCGCCCATTAATTCCAGAAGACAGAAATTTAATTTCCCCGGCCCAATTGCCATCCAGCTACCAGACACCGAAATAATAGCAAAGTCTCGGCGTTATGGACTCCCGGGGGAAAGGGTTCACTCACCGCCTATCACCCCCGGAAATGAATTCCGAACGAGCAATTGAATTGGAATTGATCGAATAATTTCTCAGTATCCAATTTTGCTCAATCAAAAACAACGCGATGAATTGAGGGACTTCCCATTGAATTATCCCGCAATTCTTATCTCTCATTGTTAACACTGATAATTATTTTCACGGATATGATTCCGGAATTGTCTGGAGTGCAGAGTTCCCGAAGAAAACACTGGAAAATATTTTCCACTAACAACATATTATTTCATGAGTTCATTATTTAAATTATTTAAATTATTTTCAGTATCAAAACAATTTTTGAGTTGCTCAATAATTTTCTCGGTGTATTGACCTACATCGCAGGAGTCCCCGGAGTGATACGTCACGCGCGATTTATTTGTCGATAGTCAAGCCTTCGTGAAGTGAAAAAAAAAATTCCCATTAACATGGAATCTTGCGAGTCGGGGGAATCACCGGTGACAGCTGACATCAGGGCGATTAATCGAGGTAGTGGGGCACTTATATCAGTGTAACTTCTCCTCGCGCAATCATTATTCACTCCGGAAGCGCGTGGTTAGAGTTTATAAAGACGAAAACGAGTGCTGATAGAGAAGAAAAAAATGACATTACGATCAAGTGGATTATTGACTCAATTTGTTGAAATAATTTGTTAATCGCGGAGAAGGTGGTGTCTGTGTTAATTGAAAATGGATTGATCGTTGTTCAGAGGATTAATTGAAATTCCGAGGTAATTGGTGAACGTTGGTGAGACGTTTATCTCGGAAACTAATTGTTGTAAAGGAAAAGTCGTTGGAACTTTTCTGGAGATGGGGAAATTTTGGAGAATAAGTTGTAATGATATTTTCTTGTGGAAACAATAATTATCGAGATAATTGAGTGATTAGAGATGAGAAAATGAGCAAAGCAGTAATGCGAGGAGACAACCTGAGGCTGTTCCTCCGATCGAACACGGAGACCCTGGAGGTCCTGGGGGACGGCTGTCGAGTGAAGATCGTGGATAACACGGGGAAGATCCGTATGATCGGGGATGGGAGTCGCCTAGAGATAACCGGCACAAACTGCGGAGAAATCGAGTACCGGGGAGATGGTGGAAGGATAATACTAGGACCGCAAGTCTCCAGGAGGAATATTCTATACATCGGGGACGGGGGAAGGGTGGGACGTCATCCTCTGGTGCATTCTGGACCTGATATCGTCGAGAAGTCCTCGGGAATCGGCTTCTGCACCACCTCCAAAATCAAAACTACTGTTTACACACCAGATTGAGGATTTTTTTTTTTCAGTTTTTATCGGTTTAACCGTGGGGTCTCGCTGCTTCGGATGCCTCCGGATGGCCTGCAGACGTGTTGTACTCGGGGTAAATATAAACCTCTGGGACGTGAAGAATGCATTCTGGGGAGGACGTTTAACTGTCCGGAGGAGGAAAGGGGAATGGGACACAGATGGACAGGAAATTACAGCTGGGGGTCTGCGAAATTCCGTGGGGAAGGGGTATCGCGGAAATGGAGCATTTTTTTGGAGCTCAATTCCCAGAGGATGAGGAAGACTGGATTTAATTCTTGGGGGGAATTGCGATCTCAGATCTGTATTTCATTAATTTTATGTGAAATAAATTATTTTATTCATAATTTTGGGAGTGATTCGTTTGAATTTCCAAGACCTTCCTTGATGGAAAATATCTCCAGACAAGATTTTTTCATGGAAATCAAAATGAGCATTGATTTCCCAAAATTGATTCGTTACGTTCCGAAATAATTCCACTTGAAGAAACCCTGAATTTTTCGACACCCCAAAAACCGAAAGTCAAACGACAAAAACTGATTCCCTGATTCCGTCATTCCCCACTTCCTCATCCCGTAGTCACCGAATCATCAAGATAATTATCACAGCCATCAATCACGACATAATAACCACCGAAAACCCCACAATTTCCGGAATTTTCCGGTGTTTTAAAAAACCGGTTTCTTTTCCACTTGTTTATTTCATCTGAAAAAGAATAAAAAGCCTAAAAATCCGGAGAAAAAATGGCAAAACCACCGAAAAAAATTCGTGAACATCTGCAAATGGCCAAACGGGAATAGAACTCCATTTCACACGCAAAAATCCCATTTCATTCTGGGAAATGATAATCAATAAACTTCCTGGAGCTGCAGTGCGAAAAAAAATATCAATATAATATTGAAATTGCGATGGTAATTACCTCATTGGAGTGAATATCCTGGCAAATTTCCTCGGAAGACATTGGAGATCCCTTGGGATCCTCTTGCCACCTCGATTCACATAGAATCGACAACATTCGCTAATTTTATCGGTGAATTCACTATTTTTTTCACTCGAATGTCGACTCACCGTTGAAAATTTTCGTCTTTCACTCGGAAATTTCCGAATTATCGAGTTTATTTCGGGGAATTGGAGAATTTATGTGATATTAACGTGGGACTACGGTTTGTCTGCTTCCTGGACGCCTGTTCCAACGTTTCTGATAGGTTCCTGAATTTTATGTGTAGAGGGAGTTTCATCCCGTCCCCTTCCCCTCGTTGGAATGGCCCTTTGGAGCTAAGTCCGGGTTTTCCCCCTTCCCGCGGGATTATCTCGGTTTGGGGGAGGGGAAGGAGGAAAGCTAATAGAACATTTTTTGTAGAGAATTTTATCAACTATAAAAAAGCTGGTATGATCTTTTCTCCCAAATTTAGTCATTCTCGAGATAATTAGTTGATAAACAAAATTTCTTCCGCGGTGAGTAATTCACAACTTCTGGAATGATTTTCTTATAATTATCGACTAATTATCGGCCTTTCACTCCATGCATGATTTAACGTGGGATTCGACTGAATTTAATTGGTAAAAGTTGATTAGATAATGGTAATTACTCCTGCGATGAGTCTTGTGCATGCGTGAACGTTCACTCGAATTTCTATTGATACAATCCACGAGACAATTTAAACCATTTTACCCAAGTAGAAATTCGGCACAATTATTGTTGTCATCACTCATCAATTCTCTTTATTGATTTATTTTATAATTATTTGAAGTCCTTCATTTCTGGTGTTAAAGTCATCAACGACTCGATCATTTTCTTTTTCTCCTGATCATTTTTTAAAGTCCCCCAGACACTTTGCAATTTTTTCTGCTGGTGTTTCTACAAAAAAACAATACAATACAATAAAGAGATTTAATTAGGGGGAATTCCTGGAGAAATCACTCACTTTAATGAATGAAAAGCAATTTTTCATGGTGGCACCGACATAAAGGATTTTCACCTCGACAAATCTTCCACCGAGATCGTTAATAAAAGGAATCGAGTTAATTAAAAAATTGTGAGGCCCATGTCGACACTTGATGAGAGCTATTCTCGTGTGAGGATTGCAATATTGTGCTGGAAAATAAATAAATACATTAAAATTAAAAATAAATAGTATCTCGTCTAGTTGTTTCAATTTCTGTCATTCTTCCTGCAAAATCTCTCGATTGAACTAGTAGTTGTCGATTTAATTACTCATTAAAAATCATTTTTTCCTGTTTACCATTCAATCCGGCCTTGACGGAGGCAAGACCGAAGTCCCCGTACATTTTCTCAACGATTTTCTGGACAGAATGGTACAATGCTGAGGGTTTCAGCACCAGGAGTCTGTCCTCCTCCTTCAAGGTAATCTCCACAGTAATATACCTGATAAATTAAAACCAATCAGTAATCCCCCGTTAATTACTCGACAACGACCTTGAAAATTCTAATAATTTAATACCTGTTCTTGAATCGCACCATTTAGAGGTTAACTTCCTGAATTTTCCAGGATTATCTCATTTTTTCGATAAAAAATTGGAAAGGCGATCGCTGGATTCGATCCCTCGATTTTTCTCGTCGATGATTTACGGTTTTTCAGGTTTATTGTTGTTGTTATTGTTGTGTGACGTCACTAAATTATTGTCACGTGAATGAGAGGTCGAGGGTAAACAAAACGCCACGTGCGTTGACAGCTGCTCGCAATTTTTTGGAGGGCCCTCCACTTTTTTGGATTTAACCCAGATTTTTCGGATTTCGGGGGGAGGTATCGAAAAATCGTTCGAATAAAAAATCTTCGCATTGAAAAGATGAATTTATGATTTTATATTAGTTGTTTAATTATTCTGAGTATTTATGGAGATATTCTGGGTTTTTCGAGGGCTGCATTCGATAATTCCAGAGAAATGCTTTAAAAAATCCCAGAATAATGGAAAATCTATTGAATCAATGTCGACGCATTGCTGATCCGAGAAGATGAAAGAGTGAATTTGAAAAATATGGATTAATGCAGTAATTCCGCGTTATCAGGGGTCGCAAGAGTTTAACGATAACTGTAATAAATTCTAGAGCCGAATGAGAGAGTTTTATCCCTCGGAAAACATGAGATAATAAAAGCTCCAGCATTTATTGAAGAGACAGCTAGTTGAATCCTGACGATCAATTGGAGAATACGATGAATTATTACGTGGGTGTGGACGTGGGTACTGGTAGCACAAGAGCTGCTCTCTTCGATGGGGAAGGAAAATTGATAAAAATCTCGACAAATCCCATTGAAACGTTTAACTCAGTCCCTGATTTTTACGAGCAATCCTCTGAGGACATCTGGGATGCTGTGAAAAAGGTCGTGAAAAATGTTGTCAGCGAAATTCCTAAGGAATCTGTGAATGGGATAGGATTCGATGCTACGTGTTCTCTGGTACTTTTGGATGAAGCTGGAGATCCTGTGACAGCAAGTCTGAATGGAGATGACAAACGAAATGTCATCCTCTGGTTGGACCACAGGGCAGAGGCAGAGGCCAATTTCATCAATATGATGGGTAATCAGGCCTTGAGGTACGTCGGGGGGAGTATTTCTCTCGAAATGGAAATTCCGAAAATTCTGTGGCTCAAGAAAAATCTCCCAGACACTTGGGCTCGAGTGAAACTCATGTTCGATCTTCCGGATTTTCTCACGTGGAAGGCCACCGGCTCGGAGTCTAGGTAATTCTATGAAATCCTATTGAAATATCTAATTAGATATATTAAACAATTGCTCTAATTAGATCTCTGTGCTCCCTCGTCTGTAAATGGAATTACTCAGCGAGTCCAGATGGTAAAAATGGCTGGAATGAGGAGTTCTTCAATGAAATTGGTCTCTCAGTCTTGAAAGAAAATAACTGGAGGAGAATTGGTAACGAGGTGAAAGCACCTGGGGAACCAGTGGGCAGGGGATTATCCTCGAGGGCTGCAGCAGAGCTGGGATTAGCAGAAGGAACTCCTGTCGGTACTTCAATAATTGATGCACATGCTGGGGGTCTGGGGATGATTGGATGCTCTGCTCCCAATATCTCTGATAATTTCACCAGCAGATTGGGTAAAAAAATAATCCATGCCGCTCTCAATTCCATATTCAATAATTAATTGTCTTTTGCTTAAGGACTCATTTGTGGTACATCCACGTGTCACATGGCAGTGAGTGAAAAACCAATTTACGTCGATGGTATCTGGGGGCCTTATTACAGTGCAATGGTCCCATCATTGTGGTTGAATGAGGGAGGACAAAGTGCCACTGGAAAATTACTTGATCATGTAATTGACACTCATCCAGCGACCAGTTCAATTCGCAAGAAAATCTATGGAAAAATGTGCGAATCAAAACAATAATTCATTCGAAAAATCAATTAAAGTTATTTTAAAATTATTTCAATGATTTTTTTCAGGCACATCCAACAGTATTTATCGAATTTATTGCAATCGATGTCTCAGCAAAGAAGTTTTCCAGATATTTCGTATCTCACGAAGGATTTACACGTCTGGCCGGATTTTCATGGGAATAGGTCACCCCTGGCTGACCCGACCCTCCAGGGGATGATATCAGGGTTGTCTCTAGCCTCGGACGAGGAAAACCTCGCGCTGATCTATCTCGCCACTATCCAGGCCCTTACTGTGAGACAATTTCGAAATGTCGAAAATGAAATCAGTGGGAAATCATTAGATTTGTCTTTAATTAATTAATCTGGCTTTCCAGTACGGGACAAAACACATCCTGGAGTCCCTAACGGAGTCACGATACAAAATCGAGACGATCCTGATATGCGGTGGACTCAGCCAGAATCCGTTGTTCGTGCAAATTCACGCGGATGTCCTGAATCTCCCAGTTTTAATCCCCTCCGAGAGGGAGTCTGTGCTCCTGGGGTCTGCCATCCTGGGATCCTGTGCTGCTGGCACTTATCCATCAGTCAGCAAAGCCATCAGGGCAATGGCAGGAAGTGGAAGTCTCGTGAGACCGAGATCTGTGTCGTATCAGTGAGTAAATTTCCTTCAAAGCTTTCAAATTTTCATCAATTTCTGTTGGAATTTTATTAATTAAAATTAATCCTCTTGGAATTTTCCGCAGGTATCACGTGAGAAAGTTCAAAGTCTTCAAAAAACTCGTGAACGACCAGAAAGATTACAAGAAAATGATGAATGAAACTCTTTGATCGTTAAAATCCGTCCAAAGGCATAAAGTAACAATTCAATTACGGTTTTATCACAAGATTTATTTTTACTACATTTCCTTACATTTCCAAAGTAATTAAAGATACTATAATTGTTCATATATATTTTGTAACAAAGGGGAGTAAATAGTTGTGCGATTTAACGTCATTTTTGTGTGAAAATTGAAACGAAAAATTTTAATATAAATGATTCCATTAATATTTGTGCAATTAAAGCTGCCGGTTGTTATCCACTATTCGATTATAGAATATCAAAAACATATTAACAATATCAGGGATCGATTCTCATCAAATTATCATTAATTATATTAATTACATGTTGATTGCTCGGTGTGCGTTTTTTGCTGTAGAATTTCGAATCTGTAAGAGATAGAAAAATCTTCGTAAGACCTTTTTCATAGAGTGGATGTAATTCTATAAAAAAAAGTCCTACGAAAATTTCTCCATTTCTTTTAGATTGCGAGGTATTGTACATGCAGTGATGCAATTTCACTTCTTAAAAATTCATCTTCCCTTTTAATATCGCCAGGCACTTCCGGTCAGTCTCACTGTCGTCCGAACTTTATCTGGAAGACATTCTTAATACCTAATAGATTAGAAAATAGGAAATTCTCCCTAAACCAGGAGATAAGTCCGTCAAAAACTCAAATAGATTCTTTAAATTTTGGTAAAAATAGAATTATCTCAAGTTTTTGTCATTAAAAAAAAATCTTAATATCTAATATAATTGGAGAATCTAGTGCCTCGGGGAGGCTATTGCTCAGAAAAACGTCTGCAACTGAAACATTCCGTAAATTTCTCATTTTTCGTCGATATTTTTCAATCGACAAACTTAATGAGTAAAAAATTTGAGAAACTTAACTCATGTGAAACGATAACTCTCGACTATGTGGTTGAGCATGTACTGAAAAGCTGGTAAGGAAGACAAAGAGTATCCAAACCTCTGCTTCCAGAGGTGTGTGGAAATAATAGATTGCCCCATGGAACGAGTGGATTCCTGAATTTCCTCACAGATTTCTGCCCCATTCTGCCAAATCGTCCCTGCAATTACAATAAAAAAAATTCCCGTCCATCAATTTTTCCTTCATTTACTTTTTGTCTGATTAAATAGAGATTACCTAAATTGCTGAGTAGTTTCTGGTGATCAGGGTTATCAAATTTCTGGAGATACTCCACACTGAACACTGAATATTGCTTGAGCTCCTGGAGGGACTCGTAATTGCAGCATCGAGCCCGACTATTTGCCACGAGAAAACTTCCTGGGAGGACTTGTTTGGTGATAACTTTTATCGCCTCTTCTACCATTCCACACCTTTGCATCACTGTCTTTCCTTTCTCGGTCTTGGGCAATGGCTGGAGGTGAAATGGAAAGGAAAATGCAAAATTATCAATGAAATTATTCGATGAATTATTCAATTAATTTCATAAATATAAATATAAAATATAACGACCTCTGGCATCGCCTGGATGACGTGCAGCCACATTTTTGGGGGAATGCAATTGGCCTCGGCGATGCAGAGAACAGTATTTGAATTGTTATTTCGTTTTTTGTTCATTACGACGTCCACACCCTCTGGGATCATGTACCCCCCGGGGAATTCGTCGACAATCAGAACCATCCCTGGGCCACCCACCTGGAACTCCTCTGGATGCGCCTCGATGTAATATTCACACACTTTTCCACATTTTTCATACACTTTCTTCACGATGTGTTCTTTAATCTCTGAAAAAAAAATTATCCCGAATATTTTTAAATTATTTCGACAATCCCTGAGTCCTGGGTAAAATTTGAGGGGTTGTATGTAATATTTGAAGTGTCCTCACCCAATTGCTGGGCTGCCAGGTCGGAGGGGACGTCCTGGCACCATGCGAGGATGAGCATGAGAGCACTCTTAAAATCAGTCTTGACACCATTGAAGAAACAACCCTCCCTGATGGTCTGCTTTTTACTGCAGGATGGACAGACCCAGTTATACCTGTCCCTCAGCCTCGCAGCAACGAATCCCATGTTTCTACCCTGACACTCAGGCTGAGAGCAACTTACTGATGATCTGATCAGAGAAGTCTCCTTCAACCAACTGAGAAGCTCACCCTCGTGCCCCTGCTGGAACATCGGCTTCAAGACGAGATCGAAAAATCCCCCCTGATCTCCAAAACGTTCAAGTGCCTCTTTTCCACTGCTGAGCATTTCATCATTTTATCGTCATCATTTTTTTTCATTTAAACAGCAACAAGTTTTAGACAGCGATTGAGGTTAATTAAGAAAAAATAACAATCTCACAACCCTCACCTTGTTTTTATGTTTTTCATGACTCCAGAGCTGTCAGCGCCTGTTAAATAAAATAATCAACAGGAGAACAATAAAAAAAGCAACGAAAATCAACAAAAAAAAAGGAAAAATCGAAAACTGAAAGGGAAGCGTCAAACCCTCATATTCTCGTTAAATAAACAAACATGGAGGTGTCTTTTTTTTGGAGGAGGAGCCAAAATTTAACCTCGAATTTAGATCGTTAATTGTTTGCATGTCGGTGCTCGCGTCGTGATTGCTCGTCGGATTATTCCCAACATTCGGAATTCTCCACGTGAATGAGGAGATTTATATTCGGATTGAATTACCATTCGCCTATTAAACTCCTAAAAATGAATTATTATGCTGTGGCAAGAGGTAGAAATCCTGGAATTTACATGTCATGGTAAGGAACAATTGTCAAAAAAATAAAAATTTGGAATGGATTTGAGATTTTTCGCAAGGACAGGGAAGAAAATGAATAAATTCAATTCTCCTGATTAAACGATACGATTTGGCAGAATTGACACCGATTTGAAAGCCCTGAAAATAATTTTCAAAATGATTGAAAAATCTCGTGAAATTTCACTCGATCAATCGTGAGTTTTTATTTTTTTTTCAGGAACGAGTGTCATGCACAGGTGAATAAATTTCCTGGAGCTGCTTACAAGAAATTTAATTCAAAGGCAGAGGCTCAGGAATTCATATTAGATCGTGGGGGATCTTCAGGGACTGAGGGGAAGACGAAGAGGATGAAAATCACTGGACGGTTCCAGCCCTATTCTACGACAAAGGGAGCGAAGATGAGGAACAGTCCGAGGGATGATTCACCTGATACTAGGGATTTTTATGATTTCAAGGAGGGAAGAGACCTTGAAGAGGCTCACAAGGATCCAGGAGCCTTCATGAAGGATTCTCAAGGTTGTGTGGACATTTTCACGGATGGGGCGTGCTCTCGGAATGGATATAATGGGGCCAAGGCAGGATTTGGAGTCTGGTTTGGACATAATCATCCTCTGTGCGTTCTCATGCTTTCTTCAAGGAATTAAATTTTTTGATTAATCGAATAACAATCGTTTTTGTGCAGAAATGTTGCAAAACCAGTTGAGGGTCGGCCGACGAACAATAATGCAGAGATTCAGGCTGTGACGGAGTCAGCACTCCTCTCGAAGAAACACGGTATAAAAAAAATAAGAATTAACACCGACTCCGAGTTCCTGATTAAATGCATGACCCAGTGGATGCCAACGTGGAAGGCCAGGGGATGGAAAACTGCCAGCAATGAGCCAGTGGTGAATAAGGACGAGCTGATAAAAATGGAGAAGGCCCTCAAGGGATTAAATTATGAATTCGTGAGGCCCTTTTTAATCCATTTCGTTCTCTCTCCGGTTTCTGAGGATTTCAGTAAATAATTTTATTATTTCACATTTTTTTTTCGATACAGAATCACGTGAGAGGACATTCTGGAATCCAGGGGAATGAAGAGGCTGATAAATTAGCTCGACTCGGGGCTCAAATGTACAAGCATTGAAAAAAAACAACAAAAAATCCTCTGCAACACCAGAAAGTTCGTTTATTCTTATTTTTATTTTTATTAATTCAGTGTCTGAATCTCTTCTTCACTTAAATTGTGTGAAAAAATAAAAACAATAATACATTGGAATCGTTTCTCCTGAAAAAATAAATTCATGAACGGGTTTTTAAAAAAATCAATTAAATGAATAAATAAATAAAATAGAGCCTGGAGGAATGAACTGTTGTTGAAGAAAAAAAAAGGATGCGCTTTATCTTGGTTTCAAATTCCTAGCACTCATCGCGAGGAGTCGGATTTCTCCGTGGAGTTCCGTCGGGCATCGTTAGCAGGAGGGGGATTCACCGAATTATTTTATTCGTTGGTCTTCATCTCTTCTGCAGCGAACCCCAGAAATTTTCTGGTTTTCTTAGCAATTCATCTCGAAATTCCTATCAATCTTTCAATCATAATTATCAATTAATTACAGAGACGTTAAAAAAACATTGTGAGAAAAAATGGTTTGCTTTACAAATCCCCCGGCATATTATGCAGTCGCCAAAGGTCGCATCCCCGGCATCTACGACAATTGGTAAGACAAATGATACATCACATCCACAAATAAATTAAAAAAACAGATGAACTACAATAATATCGACAATTCTGTATCGTTTTATGGATTCCATTCAATTTTTTTTTGTCAGATATGTCTGCTGACGCAATTCTTTGTTTTTATTTCTCTCTCAAGGTTATATTCCCGGTACGAGAGCTTTATCTTGATTGGTTTTTATTTTCGTTTGTAGGATTGATACTAAGCAACAAGTGTTTAAATTCAGTTATTGTGATTTTCGCAAATTTTTTTGTTGGGACGATTGCTTCATGTATTTGAGGAGAAAAGGACTGACTGAAGGCGATTTCGAGTGAGTTATTTTTTTTTTTTTAATCATATCGAAAACACTTGGAGAAAAATAGTGTCGAAGAGGTCATTCATTTATCATGTTTCGTTTTGTTTTTTTTTTCAATTCACAGATTCGTTTGTGGCAGGACTCACAAGGAGAAACATAATCCACACCAAAAATTCTACACTGTGGCTGTGGGCCGACGTCCAGGGATCTACACCCTCTGGTGAACCCTCAGAAATACTTCGAATGAATTTACAATTTCCTTTTTCTCCATTTATTTCAAGGATTCGAGTAAAAATTCAGGATGATGCTCAATCCAATTTATAATTCCCCGATTTTTTAGGGCCAACTGTCAGCATGAGATCTTGGGATACCCAGGGGCTGATTGGAAGATCTTCGAGTGCAAACTCGACGCCAAGAAGTACATGAAGAGAAGAGGACATAAGGAATAGTGAGAATCCTTAATTGAATCCTGAATTTTTAATTATTTCTCTTAATCGCTCGATTTTCCAGTTAATTATTGTTAATCATTTATTTTTTCAGCTACAAGGAGAATGCCCGAGTGGAGGTACCCCATCCCCTGGAGATTGTCACGTGCAAGAAAGATAAAGAGGGAAGAGCGAAGGTTTATGTAGATGGATCTGCAACGAAAAACGGACTCCCTGGAGCAACTGCAGGGATTGGGGTGTGGTGGGGTGTAGATCATCCCCTGTGAGTATTCCTTATATATATTGGAAATCAATGAATTCCTGTCATTCCTATGGATTTTTATCTCTGGAATTAATTAACCATTTTTATTTAGACTCTGAGGTTGACGTTTATTTATTTTATTTTGCAGTAATCTTTCAGCTCCTGTGGAAGGTCACAAGGCGACCAATATCGTGGCTGAGATTCAGGCAGTGACTGCTGCCTGCAGGATTGCAATTGAATTTAAAATTCAAAAACTTCGAATTTTCACAAACTCTGAGTATCTCATCAAGTGCATGAATGAGTGGTGGGATAATTGGGTCTCGAATGGCTTCATGACTGCCAGTAGGAAGCCTGTGGAGAACAAGGAGATGCTCCAAGACCTCAAACGAGTCCTGGAGAAGGTCGACGTTAAATTCGTGAGTTGTCTCCTGGGAATTCCCAAAAATGAAAGCGATTTTGTCCATTTTAATTCTTTTTGGATTCCTAATCAATTTTTCCCTCCAGAAATTCGTTTCTGCACACTCCGGGGTAAAAGGAGTTGAAGGAGCTGATGCCCTCGCTAAAAATGGCGCAAAGAAGTTCAACGAAGAATAATTTTTAAAAAAAGACAAAACTATTCCATTTTTATTTTGTTTTTCCAAAGATTCTATTTTTTTTTCGTTCTTTCGTTATCCAATGACACTCTGAAAGCCTTGGGATGGTTTTTCAAATATGTATTAATTATTACTATTAATTATAATTTTTTTATTTTGAAGAAAGAAATGAGAAATTTTTTCTTTTGTTTGACATTAAGATAATTTTTCACTGCTATGAGCTGTGGATCATTTCGACGATAAGAAATAATGCATGGTGTACTGAGTAAGGCGAGGAATTACTCTCAGGGAATGTGAGATCAACGACCATGTATTTTTGAAAATAAACATTTCGCATTTATTTATTACTTGTTTATTCGTTGATTCATTGGTTTGAAGCTTCAGATTTTCCTGGGACGTTTTCTCTCGTCGAGGAGATGGAGCTGATGCGTTTCAGGAGACCGTGAATGTCCTCGGGGGTCATCCCCATTTCTAATAGTTCATTAATTATCCTGCAAATCCAAAAATTACTAATTAATAAATCACGTGGATGCAGTCCTGTATTTTATGGGTTTATCCCCGATTGAGTGGTTCTACGAAAAAAATTTATATAAACTTTTTGGTCCAGAATTTTCTCATCTTCGAAAAGTTCTTCCACGATTTTTTTCTAAAACACCTCATTACCGGGGTAATTAATGAAAAAATTAATCTGAAGTCTTGTTGTTATTATAAATAAATCAATTTTTAAGGTTAACCAACCGAAAAATTGCTGGTGAGGCACTGACACCTGCCAATTCTGCCAGAACAATCAAATCCGCAGTATAATCCTGGAGACCCGACATTTCCTTTTCCAAACATTAATTAACAATTCATATTTTCAATTTTTCGTGTTTTTTTTTGACAAATGACAATAATAAACTCCAGAAATCAAAATAAATTTGACGGGCTGTCGTATGCGCAGAATTAGTATTGCGTGCGCAACATCAGTTCTGTGCATGTGCATAACCCATTACCAGGCGGGAAATTCGAAGGGAAATTTGAAAAATCAACTTGAGATAATGGTCTTTTCGTGTTTCGAGTCCGAAAAATCGGATTGAAAGAATGCGATTTGCTGACGACGAGCGGGAGACAGAGGGAGGAGAGTAGGATCTCAAGGATTTTGAAATACTAATAATTTAATCATTCTTTATATTTTAAAAACTTTATTTTCCTTTGTTCTTCAATCTTACACAGGTTTATATATCTCCCCTCAATCGTTTGAAACCACCAAAAACCTTATCACTTGTTCCGAGATAACCATTAAAACGGTAATTGAATGAAAATTCCCTGAAACTCATCAATTCGACAATTTTATAAAAACATTTTCATTACATTTTTTGGTATAAAAAATCCTACGAATTCTCCAACTACTCGAGGTTTCCCATCGATAAATTAAGCAACAAAAAAAAAATTAAATGAATTATCATGAGTAATTATAACATGAAGACGTTATAAGAACATTATTTCGATGGAGGAAAATGAATAAAATTGTAATGTAACGAAATTTGGTTTTTCCTCGTTAATCTCTCGAAATTGAACAATTATTTTTTCGCTCTGGTCAAGTCTTGAGATAGCAACATTTTTTAAAATGTCTTTCGTGGTCATTAGCCTCGGCTTTCACAGACAATTACGTAAAAAATATAATTGTGTAAGTGTCGAGTGAAAAACTATGGTAGAAACATTAATTCCTCTTGGGTTTAGACTTCTCTCATTTTTTTTTTAGTAAATTCTTGACTAGATTATTCAATCGACGTTTGGGCTGTTAATTGCGGTTTTTTGGGGGTTGTAAACGTCATTGAGAAGTCATCTAATGCTAGCCAGAGCACACCTCCGAGTGCTCGTCCCAGGCGGAAACCTGAAAGCAATTCAATAATTAAAATGATTCAATTAAAACAGAGTTTATGTACATTTGTCAAGTGATAATTACTTGACACTCTCGACTGCAGTACCACTGGTTTCCACATCCAGCACAGACGAACTGTGCAGCACGCTCTTGGCACCCTTGACACCTGGGTGGTGTGTCCCTGTCCTCTCTGTTATCCCTAGATGATGTTCGCCTCGAGTCTCTCTCCTCGATCAGCGAATTCTCCTCTTCCACATCCTCCTGGAGAAAAAATAGAAAATAATGAGATTGTCCTGAAGAGTTTGTCACCCAGTTGCAAAGTAATTGTCTCTCACCACGTGAACAATATTATTGGGATGTGAAGATTGGAGGGGAGTATTTCCAACTGGAGTTATGGTGATTTCCCGTCTAGCCTGAAATGGAATTAAATATAAAATAAATAATCAATGAAATTATTTTCTGAATAAAGCTCCTGACCTTGGAAGAATTTAAAAGATCGCTGATGGAGACCCCCGTGTTCCCCTGAAAACCCTGAACCATCTGTGCGACTTGTGCCTGTCCCCTGTCCCTCTCAGGGGCAGTTAAAAGTTTGGCAAGAGTCGGTGAGAATGTCGTGGGCCTAGGACTGTGACTTTTCGTGAGTATTCCATGAAGTAGACTCCCCTGTCCCCCAGGATTAGCCCCAGGTGTTGGCCCAGAAGCAACAGGATGTAGAGTGACATCAGGATAATTCTGGGGTGTCTTGACCGTTCCAGTCATCTCTTGCCTGGCATATTTAGCAAATTGTATCTGAATGTCCTTGTAATTAACATCAGGATTGGATCCAGACTTGCACGAGTCAGTGCTGGACGGCCTTGAGTCGTGAACAGTCTCGACGACTCCACCACCAGCGCCAAGTCCAATATTCACTGAATTTCTCATTCTCCTGCCCCTCCTGGGTACAGTCTCAGGGTGTCGTAGCCTGTGCTCAGCAATAACTGATCTGACATCGAGAAGAGGCCCCTGTCTACCCTCGCCAATTTGCCTCGAGTCCTGGTGAACATCCTGCGTCCTTTTGGATCGTTTCTCCTGGGGTAGACGATTGGACACTTGGGAAACCGTCAGCTGCCGACTCTGGGACTTCTGGGGAATCGTCTGGGGTTCAAGAGGACTCTTGGAGACTGGGGGGTGTCCCAGGTCCTGGGGGATGTCCTTCGGAGGCTGGGGATCCTGATGAACTGGGGGCTCCCAGTCTGGGGCAAGGGATAAACTCGCTGAGGGAATTGTCTCGGTTATCTGACCGTTACTCTCGAGATATCCCAGGACTTGGCGCTTTCGTTCCACCCGGAGGTACGCCTCCTCTTTCAATTTCCTCATCGAGAGGATCTCATTCCACTCCATCTCTTTTGCTCTCGCCAACTCGTCCAATGCCTGGTCATTTTAATAAAAAAATAATAGCGAGAATTGGGGATAAATGGGAATAAGTGAGGATAAATTACCTGGACTTCAGATCGAAGTTCATCAGCTCTTGTGGCGAGTTCCTCGGGGCTGATCCTGTCGCATCCTACCAGAGAATCGATAAACCTCTCTCGTTGCTCGAAGCATATCCTCTTGGGATTTCCATTGGCAAATGACTCCTCGGTTGACTTTCTCTTTCGATCTTTACTTCTTGTTTTTTTTCTATCTGTCAACTCCTCGTCAGAATGATTCTCCTTCTTGACAACTGCCGGGGTAGCTGTCTCCTCAGGAAGTGCTGCACCATTCTGACGGTTCTGGGGTACCTTCGGTGAATTTCGCGAGTCGTCCTCTCTTTTTTCGGCTTTACCACTCGATGGACTCGATGTCGCACAGTCCATTGCGTGCATTTTATTTAAACTGTAATTAATTGAAATAATTGCTTGATGATGATGAGCGAGGGTTCATGAAGTTTTATAATTATCGGAAGTGTATTCTTTAAAAAAAATTTAATTGGTTTGTTTATTAAAATAAATCCAAAACTACTTAATCATCAATAAAATAAACCAATTGGCGTAATTTCACTTTCATCAAAAAAATTCTTGTCATTGCCCCGCCTCTTCAAATAAATCGACAAAAAAATTCTCATCTTCAATCTTCTCCCGCACATCGTCCCTTAATTAATAAACAATGCCGTGGAGAAAAAGAGGAAAAAGTAATGGAGATAAAGATGGAGGATGCTAGCTACCAGCGCCAACTAGAGTTCGTTGCACCCCGGCGACGTTAGCAAGTTTTGGTGTCATCGTATTTTCCTCTCGTGATTCCTCAAAACAATCAGTCCCCAGATATTGTCCCTCACTCACTCATTTATCAGGAAAATTCCCAAGTGTCCTAGGGAAATGGGTAGACGAGGTCTGGATTGAAGGGGATGATGAAAATATGTTGGAATAGAGTGAAAGGGAATTTTGCAATGATAAGGGACAACCGGTGGGTTACGTACTGGCCGGAGTACTAGTCTAATCGTGACTAGTAGCGTCATCAAGACGCCTTAGGTATTGCCCTGATGAAAACTAGTGGGGGACACCGTTGGAGAGGTCAAAGACGAAGGCGAACTGGCGAGAGTGACTTTCGATTTAGAATTATGCTGGTGGGAATGTTGGTATAGGTCGAGATGATTTTTTACAGTGAAGGACGTTGGATTTTTTCAATATTTCATTGGATATCGGGGAATTCACAGGAGACAGAGACTTGTCCTCCGGAGCTTTTTTGTAGTAAATAATCTGAGCAAGAAAAAAGGTCTGTACAACTTTTCGATATCTCCCCCGTATCTCCTTCCCCCACCAAGTTATCCCCAAAATAAAAATTAAATAGCCCTCCAAATGCCCTCCAAATCATTAATACCTCTGGAATCAATAGCCTGACAACGTCTCTCACCCCTCAAAACTCACCTCGATGCGGGTTTGAGACCAAGTGCAAGTAGCACATCAATGCCCGCCATTTTCTGCTGTTCCCCCGATAATAATTGCTGGCAAACATTGCCATCCTCATCATTAAATTTTCTGTAGTATCTAATTCCCTCGTCATGACTCCTGATCCCCTCATCGCCATACTTCCCATCCTTTCCATCTTTTCCATATTTTCCATGTGTGACCTTGAGAATTGACCTCTTGGCGTCATCAACGAGCATCTTCGTCACGGGCTGTACATTAACAGGAACTCCAATTGTTGGTACAGCACCACGACGCAGCCTACTGCGCACCGGAAGTCCAAGAACTAGATGCTCCATGTCTTTCTCGTACGAATCATTGGTAAAATGTAGGGAGCAAATACGGGCTGTCTGTATATTAAATGGTACATCGCCATTAGACAGGGGTGGACGTCCGCAGGCGCGTACCCATCTAGCACGTACTTCCGGTATCTGGGGGAATCGATGGTAACGGATACGTCGACCACGCGTACGTCGGTGACTATTTCTACATGTTGCTACAGCACATTGAGGCATTTTTCAATCAACAATTGTCAAGATTTTTAACAAGAAACTTATCCACTTCACTTCTCCCTATTCTATTCACTTTTTACGATTTTACTAACTCAAGTTTCCCTCCAAAAATCCAGTTGATTATATATCGATATCGCGATTAATATCGTTATCTCCACATTCGCATCCTCCGATTATTTTCTGTTTTAAAATATGAAAGAGTGGCAATTTTTTTAGCGTGTCAAAATTAATTTAACGAAAATGACAGCTTGATCATTTGTCTGGAGATTTTTTTTCGAATTTTCAAAATGATTTTCACACAGTGTTGGGGGATTGTAATTGGTGCTGATTTTTCCCGGGGAATTTTAATTGTTGTTATGGATATTATCTCAATGTCTTTTTTGTTATCTAGCGCCGGAGAAAAAGCCGTCCATTATTGGAAGATGGAATTGTTTACGTGAGGTACCAAGACCGGAGGGGTCAATTTCCTATTTTTTTTCGAGTTGTTGAAATGAGAAATTTTTAGATTAGCCTTTGGCACTGGCACTGGCACTGGCACTGGCACTGGCACATCCCAATGTTTGAACTTGAATATCTCTGGAGATAATGGAGATAAGGTAGCATTTTGGTGTTGGATAAAATGGGTTCAACGGACAAATCGTTCTCCAGACGAATAATTAACACTCGTTGAATTATTTCACTAGGTTAGGTACTGTTGTTTACACGCGAGTTTTTGCACGAATTTGTTGGTCACGTGACGTCACTTTCACTTTGGGTGAAACAACCCCTGAGGGGGTGCGATTTTGGCACTTTTTTTGAGGTTTGACAGGGGGTGATGTGGGTGATGTACACTGAGGGGTACGTGGGAGGGTAATGAGGGGTATTTGGGGGGCACTGGGGGGTTGAGATGATAATTTTGCGAAGGGAAATGAGGATTTATGGAGGGACTGGCAGCTGCGTGGTGGCCTCGTGTCTGAGGAAAGGAGCCACCGTGAACCGGTGAACCAATGATGTTGGGGACTCTGTGTGGCGGCACCGAGACCAGGGGAGATCAGGGGTTGAGGTGGGGAGGGGGTAACACTGGTTGGAGAGGGGGGAGAGGAGGAGAGGCTCGAGGATTTTTTTTTTCATTCGTTGCTGGGATTTTGGGGTTTAATGAAAAAATGGGGGTTTTTTTGAAAGAACATGTGAGGGCTTTTCTGGAAATTGGTGAGGGGAGAGGAGGAGAGGCTCGGGGATTTTTTCAATATCGAACAAAATCATCACAAACTCCAGACATGAATCTATAAAAATTAAATGAAGTTCTCAAAATTCTATTCAAGTATTTATCAAATCGGGTGGATTAAATTTCAAAATTCAGAATGAAATTTTGAATGAATTATCAGGATTAATTAGTGGTCTAGTGAATGATCGATTAGATCGATTGAACTGGTGATTCTAAAAATGAGAGAAAGTTTAAGAAAATTTGTCGAGTTCTTTATGTGTTTATTGAATAGTTGTGATGGGGTTGGGGGTGGTGGTGGTAAGGAAAGGGCAACCACCCCCGGCTGGTCTCATGGTGCTTCACGTGGGTCTGAAAGTGAGAGCGACAAAAGGAGGGACGTCCCTTCATCCTTGAGGTGGGGTTCTCGTTGGTGATGAGAGAGTGAGAAAGAGACACCACTGGCTTTCTCGTAGGATCAATACCCGACCGAACCCCAACTTCCACCCCTCCCACCATACCATATCCCCCCGCCCTTTCGACGACCATCCGTGCAGCCTGGAGAACCCAGAGACTCCAACATCTACTTCGGTTACCAATTCAGTACTTCAGGAAAAAAGATATTTTCGTTTTGTTTTTTTATTTTGCTTTGTTTTTGATACCGGGACATTTGTTTTTGGGGTGGGAATTTTGGAAATTCGCAGACACTAGAATTTTGGTTTTTCAGGATTTCAGGGGAAGAGGGATTTTAAAAAATGATTTAATTCGTTTTATTCTGGGACATTACGGGATTTCTGGAATTGGAGAGTTTATTGTTGAGGGGGTGGAATTTTTAATCGGGAATTTTGGGGGACCAGAATTTTGTTTATAGAATTTATGAAACCGTTAAAAAATCCCGACTCATCGAAAACCAGCAAAACCCCCTGACGATTCACAAGCGAAAATCACGAAATATCGGTTGGACGGGAATTGGCGGGTTTCCAGGTACCAAACTCGACCTTTTCAGAGGCACGAGGGGTTCGCCAGGTTTCAGACTCAAAGGAAACCGATGAGGAACAAAAAAAAAAACACGCCAGCGGGTGTGAGAGAGGGAGAAAGAGATATTAAACTGGGGACCAAGACATCTGGCGTCAGGACAAAGGGAAGTTGGAGGCCAGAAACCCGAGAGGTCCATTTTGGACAGGGGATTGGTGAGGGGGGAGAATATAAGGGGGGTAAGGGGAGAACGAGGGGTGACGAGGGGGAGAATTCGTATGCGAGTGGACGGGATGCGTTAACAACCACCCCTGGGCCAACGGTACCGTTTCTATGGTACCGCTCTCTTCTCTTCTGGATTACCAACCGAATAAGGGGGGAAAATTACGGAGGGATGTGGAAACCAGACGTGCCTCGAGGGCTTTAAATACATCCCTAAAGACTAAACAACATTTTTACCAGCAACTCCTTCGGGTTTCACGGATTGTTGTTTATTAAGACGTGTGATTTGAAATAACAAATGCTCACCATTTGATGCTTCTCTTGATGATGCTGCTGACGATTCTCTGCGACTTCCTGGTGGGCTGAGTGACTCCGCCATCCTTGGCTCCATTTTTACCTCCATTTATGGATTTATCGACCTGTTGAGCCGATTTTTCGATCCACTCCGCCACCGAAGTCTTCACCGGTGCCTCCACCAGTTCGTCATCATTCAGAACATCTCCAGCAGCAGTTGCTGGACCCACAATTCCCACTTGCGGCTCCTCATTGGATTCCGCATTAATTTCCACCGTTTTTTCCACGTCCTGGGATTTATCTGGATTTTTCGCTGACTCCGATTCCTCTTTGGGGGTCGGAGGGCTGGGGGACGATTCTTTTGGATTTTCCGGTGATTTATTGTCTTTTGGGGGATCAGAATCGCTTGGGGGATGTGGGGAGACAGAGACAGAGGCGTCTCTGTCCTCGGAATTAATGGTCATTGGGTTATCCGACATTCCTGATCATCGCCAACCGAAAAAACCTGTTTTATTACACTTGAAAATTTTTATCATTCAGGGAGAATGCACGTCTTTGATTTTTCATTACTTCAAATTAGCTGCACAAATTTTATTCAATTTACCGTCATCCTCTAGGAATTAAATTACATTAGAATAAAATGATTTTTATTTCAATTGGATCGTTGAGAATCGAATAATTGGAATTTTTGGAATGATTTATGGGAATTAAAGGACTTGATTCTAGGAAATTTTTTCAACTCTCAACGACCTCTAGATAATTTTTTTAATAAAACACCACTTCAACCCCGTTTTAGTGACCTACAGAGGGTTTCAACCCCCATCGGCGATTTTACCCGTCGGTAACCCCTGGAGGAGAGGTTATATAGGATTTTTTTATTTACCACTAGTCGATAGGAATCTTAGAGTCGATTTAGTCGATTTGAGTTGATCTGAGTGGAATTTCAGGAATCCGATGCCGTTAGATTTAAATGGCTAGCACAAATAGTTTTCGAGAAAGTAAAAAAAAACATGGATCACAAATAAGGGCTCTTTTCGCTCTAGGATGCATCACTAGGGATCTTGAGATCTAAGGGAGGCATGAGAAAATTTCGGGGAGCTTTTCTTTTGCTCTCCTGATTATTTGCAAAAATGATTGCTACCAATTGAAAAAAAAATCAAGATCGAGTGCAATGATATCTCTTGCCCTATTATTTCACCGGAGTGTTTTTGTTAATATTTCGGAATTTGGGAGGGATAGAAAAAATCGGAAAGAACCCTTTTTGCAGCTCTCCTGTCGTTCTACACAAAAGTTCCTCACAAAAATTCTCCATCTCCCCCAGATTCCGAGATATCTTCCAAAAGCTACCTCAAAAATCGCGAAAATCACCGACAGTGCATATCTCCCAAAAATTCTCAAAAAACTTTAAAAATTACCTCAAATCCCTGGACTTCTGATAATCCCCATGACTCGTGGCCCGGAGGACCTCCAGAAAATTCGGTAATTCGATGAAAAAAAAAATTTTCACAGTAAAATCCAAATTTCCTCACTTTCTCATGACATTTTCACTCATTTCCTCGAAAAGTCCACAGCCTTGAGGGATCCAGGCACCAGAGGCACCAGATCACCCCCAACCCCATTTTCCATCTTAAAATCACTGACACAATATTTCACACTTCACCACAATTTCGTAAACAAGAAAAATAGAAAGTGAATGGAATTTTTGTAATAGGAAAAATGGTGGGAGAGAGAGAGAGGAATTTATAGGACGTACCAGCGCAGAATAACACTTGAATTATCAGTTATGGGGGGATTTTTAACAGTTTTTGGGGGTGTCTTAAGTTTTTTCGGGGGGTTCGCGGGATTTATCGCGAATTCTTCAAGTGGGAAAATGGCAAAAAGGATTAAAATTCTTACGAGAAGGACTAGGGATTGCAGGACGACACGAAAATTCCACGGAACTGTCCTTAACTGCTGGGGTCCAAGGGGGTAGTGACCTCTGGTCCCAAGTTTCTTTCCGTCTCGGAGAGATGGCGATCCGTTATTGTATCTCCTTCAAAACCAACACCGGGATGATTGTTGCGGGATTTTGGGATTTTCTTAAAGGTTTTTTCAGATTCTTCACAGATTTTTATATTGATTTTGATTTTGGGAGCCTCCTCATCGTCTGGGTAACTTTTTTAATCATCAGTGCTGTCTCTGCTGTCATCCTCTGGCTCCAGACGACCTCTGGTACGTCCTGGAATATTTCGAAATTTGCAAGAAAAATAGAAATGGAATATTTCGGGAGATATTCAACGAAATATAACGATTTTTTCTCGATACCTTGTAGAATCGTCTGGAAATCGCCAGAAGAGCGACAGAATTTCGAGAGTTGTGAAGACTGAATTCGAGGAGAACAATCAAAAGAGCAGAATTATGATCGAATACCGGAGAAGTGCACGAGAGCTGCACACTGCTGCTGAAGTAAATGACAGTATAATAAAAATAATTCGAAAACCTGTTAAAAAAATCGTCTGGGAGTTGAAGATAAAATTCTGACGATTGTCCGTGTTTCAGAGATGCTATCAGAAGAAGTACATGATGAAATGCATTGATATTGTCTCCAAATATCCACCTCTAGTGAATGTGAAGTGTCCCATCAGTGGATTGACACCATTTCATCAAGTTTGTTTTCACAGAAATTCCTGCCTCGTCTCCTTCATGCTAGGCCATGGTACAAGAACGTGGAATCCACTCAGAACTTATCTATTCCTCTTCCAATACTTAAATTCTTCCAGTAATTGAAGTAAATTGCGAGAAATTCATTAATTTCAGGTGCTGATCCTTCCATTACCACAGATCACAAAGAAAATGCTCTTTGTTTATCCATTCGTTCTCACTTGCAAAATCCATATACCACGGATTTCTCGTGTCTGAAGCTTCTCCAGGGGGCAGGTAAAATTTTTTAATTCCGAAATATCCACGATTTTCATCGGTTTCTGTGGCTTCCAGGTTGTTTCCTGGATCGACGGGACAAATTGTACTTGTTATTCCTACAATCAGCTGTTCTCACTGCAAATAAACCCCTCGTCCTTTGGATTCTCAAGCAATCTCCATATCCAGTGCTGAAACAGCAATCATTTTCTTGATAAAATCATCTCCACAGGACAGAACTCCATTTTTCTCCTCAATCTTGAGAGTCATTGTAATAGAAAATATTGATTTCAATCCCAATTAATATTAATATCGGTCAGGGTATTTATTGTTGATAAAAAAGGGTTTAAAACTCTCGGTATAATGTAATAACTAATTGATAACTTAGTGGTGAATTTTAATTATGCTAACAACAATCATTAATCATCGTCGGTGTCATCGTCTTCTCCGTCGGTTTCATCCTCCAATTCCGGCATTGGAAAACGCAGGATTGCAGCGATGCCAGTTACCTGGTCTAATTCTGATGGCAGAAATTTACAAAGATTTTTAGTTGTCGTTCTTCCATTGTGATTTTCAAATAATTTATTTGGGGACTTACGCTCTCCTGACACGTGCATACTGGAAAATATTTTGACGTCTCCACCGGCGTCTTTCACACTGTCCACTATCTCGACGTATTCCTTCCGCGTCTGAATGTCTTGGCATCTGAATAATTTGTCAGAGATGAGGAGAACTTCGATGGCTTGAGCCTCTGCTGCCAATTTCACGTGTTTCTTTCCATAAAAGGCCCTTGAAGGATCAGTCTGAAGAATAGTATAGAATTGCTCGAGTATTTTAACTTCACCAGCTGCTTTTGTGTCAGAAATTCTGGCGACGACTGTTGGATCAGCGAGAACTTCCTTGAGAGAGTGTTTGAAGCCTGAACTCGCGTGAACAAGCATAAATTTGCTCTTGTTCTCAATCAGAATTTTTATGTCTGTTTTACTCGCCTGCTCCATCATGTACTCGAAGAACTGATCCTTAACGAATCCAGGACTTGCGATAATTATGCATTTCACGATTTCAAAATTCACGTGACGAAGAATTCCTTGGACTACACTCTCATAAAATCGTGTTAAGCCCTTTTCATGCTGAGATATGAATCCCTTTCGCTTCCTTGGTATGGGTTGATCGATTTTAGCTCTAACAATTGTCATGTTTGAAGTTATCAGGCAGATGTGGGCTATTCCCTCCTGCATGACCACCGCAGCAACGTCTGCATGCTGTGTGGGATCGCATGCCATGTCTATTCTGTCGAGAGCCACTGAGTCCCATTTCAATTTCTTCAGGACAAATTTACGGTTGAGCTCCAGGTCTAGGGTGTGATACGCTCCCATCTTCACGTACTGATTCTCCACGATGTTTCTACCCTTCAGTCTCAGGACACATGCCTGGGTGTCAAAGTCTATTGTCTCCACTGATATTGTCAAGGTTGTTCGCACTCTCTGGCTGTTTGTACTGCCTGTTGCACTTTCTGTTTGAACTTTTCTGGGGGATACACCAGAATTTATTATGAGTCACTGAATTATTCACCTCAAAAATTAAAAAATACCTTATCGTTGATGCACTGACACAATCATGTTCAGAAATCAGGTTGTATGCGTGCCACATGTCCTCAGGATTCTCTGGTATTAGAGACACCACTCTGGACATTGAAAAAATATTCATCGGCTGTTTTATCAATTCTCGATCAATTGCAAGCACTAAAAAAAATTATTTCTCGTGTAAAAATAAATACAAACCCTCCGCCGTCTCGTTCGATGTTTTTCGAAATCAATTTCATCTTGTCCTCTTATTCCTAAAAATTGGAATGAATTAATTAATACAAGGGAAAACCATTAGAGAAAAAATCCAATTCGTCCATTTTAATGTTTTAACTATTCAGATTATTCAATGAGGTTTCGTGAGAATTTTTTATGAGCTTTCGCGGTTATTTTTCCTAGGTTAGCATAAAATTTGATGAAAAATAATTGATAAAAAGTTTCACTCACTTGAAAATATATTGCACTTGATCAGCGAATCATTAACAATTCATTTCAGTTATTTGGACTATGACGTAACACTTTAAATTTAAGAAATAACATATGGTCCGATGTGAATTACAACTCTTCATGTTTTTTTCCACCAAAATCTGAGCTCCAGTAAATACTGACTGAAAACTGTGATCAGATTCTGTCGAATCTCTCATGATTTAGAGATGATAGCGGAATGTTTGTGGGAACTTTTTTGAAGAGAAGATCGAGGGCTACAAAAAAAGTTTTGTGGAAAATTCCGCTTTCTCCCCTCGATTCAGAGATATTTAATGAAAATTAAAGTATGAATGGATTTTACCAGCTGATTGGCTTGATAAGACAGAAATCATTGTGATCATCAAACGTCAGACATTGTCCGTTATATCCTCTATATATTTTTTTCATGTTTTTATCACCTTCAACCGTGTGAAAATTGTTTAATCTCCCTCAACACTCCATTAACAATCAAAACTACGTAACAGGTGAATGAAAAAATCATCGGCTGAATTGTGAGACAAGTTTTACATAAAAAATCTCTCTTCCACTAAATTATCGAGGTAAAAGCAATGGAATAACCTATAAATAATGAAAAATAGAACTTAATGAACAAATGCGTCAATTAAACAAAAAATTACCTTCACATTCCTTCAATTAACATCAATTAATCCAAATTAATCCAACAAAATTAACAAAAAAAACAATGAATTCTTCTGAATTAATTAATCAATTAGCTGTAATATATTCTTAACAATGAGCCATTAATGCAGGTTGAAATAATGGAATGGAGATAATTATTCGCTAATTGCTATGAATTTCTAATTAAATTCTGGAATTTCTCGTCGATTTTCGTTTTGTCTAGATCAAATTAATTGATAATCATTTGTTTAATGAAAAATTGGTATCAGCCAACAGGTAATTTGTTTATACAATTAGAAGTAATATTATTATAAGCTATTTATATTCGAATATATAAATTTCGATATTAAAATAATTTTCAATCATTTTTGATCATTTTTTTTTACTCCATAAATAAATTGTCATTGTAATTATAATTATTATGTTTTTTTGTTTATTACGGTTGGAAAATTATGGATGAATAGAATGAGAAGATGAATAATTTTTAATTGATTAATTTGAGCAGGTAATTAAATCGAGATAATTCCAACAATTAATTACTATTTAGTAATTAGTGTATGAGGTATTGTTTATTATTCCGATGAGGATACGATACTCTGGTTCATCGAGTGATTGCGTAATTGTGATCCAGTGTTTGTAATTATTATTGAGGGATAGTGTAATTGAAGGAGTGAGTATGTCGGATATGAAGGCATCGGGGCTTAGACCTCCTTCAAAGATCGGAAGGCCCTGTTGCACGGTAGAACCCAAGCCAGCGATACCACCGTCACCTCCCAGATCATCAATGAGTGAGTTCTTAATTATATTAATAATTCAATTAACAATTAATCTCGTTTCCCTAAAAAATCTGAGCTCGGTCCATTTTTTGCATCTTACTAGCGAATTATTTCAAAATTGCGTGGCTTTAGAAGAAAATGCCAGAAGAATTTTTTTTTTGAAAATTGAATTCGCTGGGAAAAAGTTCAAACAACTTTTTCTGTGGGCCGCCAAATTTTCGAAATAAGAACCGGAACAGATAAAGCTGCCAAAATTTCATTACGATTTTCATCTGTAATCACGTAATGAGACTTGGAAATGTTTTATTCATGTGCATTTGTTTGATCTTCTTTGCGTTGTCATGTAATTGAAGAGCACTAGACGCTTCAAAGCAAAAATAAACACTGGAGTGGTGAGTAATAGCTGTTACAAAGTGCGCTGTCTTTATTTTTCTGTAAATGGCTGTGCTCCCACCATTTGGGAGAAAAAGAGTTGAAATTCTGGGGGAAAAATCATTGCACGCCTACAAACGCCATGAGAAATCATGAATTTAAACAGTACAATACTGTGACTCTCCAGGTTAACCAGCAACTGAGTAAATTTCTTTTTTTCTCGTTTTTTCTGTTTTTTCCTAGTTCTATCATTTTTTTTCTTTCCATTATCAATCAATAATCATTCTCATTAATCATCATCCCCGGGACTCGACTCACTGATCGATTGAGAATATAATAATCATTTATTATTATCGAGTGCAAAAAGAAAAAAAAGAGGAATGAGTTGTTACCCTGTGATGTGACATTTGTTTCTGAATAATTTAATATCTACGAGAGATATGGAAAAATGATCAGGGAACTTTTCGTAGCTCTTGACATTTTCCACAAATAAGGTCCTGATAAAAATTCCGTTATCTCTCCAAGATCCGGAGATATTCGTAATCAACTGGCTTTAAAAATCGACTGACATTTCTCGAAGAAAATGTAATGTGTTCTTGACCCAAATAATTTAATTGTCTCTTCATTTATGGAAATTGAAATCCGGTCCATACGACCTTAACAACCTGTCTTTCCACTCGAATCCCCATAAAAAAAATAACAAAACAAACAACTTGAACAAGAAAATCAATAAATACCATTCGATGAGGAGAAACCGATAGTTTTCATTTTTATGGATTTCATTATTAATTCCTTCTGGAATTTGATTCCACTGTTGTCTTGAGTTACATGAGAGGAGGTATTAACATCACAATAAGAATAAATATCTCAATATACCAGAGGGCAATAAAAAAAAATACGAAATAAAATTGCAATTGGATGTAAAATGAAAGATTTCGAAAAATTACATTTCGAAAATTTGAATTCGTTGCGTAATATCTTCGAATCTAGGTAAGATAGCGGAATTTTTATGAGGACCCTTTTTGTAGAGCGGAAAAAAATTTGCAAAAAAGTTCCAATAAACATTTTGTTGACATGAATTGTTCGATGAAGTTTTCGTGTTGGAATTGATTGATCAATCGATTGTATTGGGATTACCATAAATTTGTCTCATGCTTTTGATAAATCGTGGATTATTTATTGCTTGTCGATAGAGGAATGTCAGTCTGATTATTTATAGACAGTTTTAATCGACTCGTGAAGGGAAAATTGATAAAAGATGGAATTTCTGCATAAAACGATTTATTTCTCCGGTTGACGTAATTCTTCGTTTGTATTTCGCAAAAACTCATTGCGGTTTACTATTTTACTGCCGTGTGTGAACTTGTAGTTGTCCATTCCATATACAGAAGTCTCTTGAATTGAATTTAAAAAATGAAGAGGAGAACGAGAGAAAAAACAAATGGACAAGAACAAATAAAATTTCCTCCGAAATTCACTCGTCGCCGACGAATGGGTGGAGTTTGAATTTTACGACTTCCTTCTACCCCTGAACAACGAGTTCCTTGTGCTTGTGATTCCCAGCATTCCGATATTCCAGGGGAATGTTAAAAAATATATTAGAAAAAATATAATGATTTCTGAGAGTTGGAGGAGACACCCACGTCGACCTACAACTTCTCAGGCCACACCCACGCTCTCTTAACATTAATTAGCACTGGTACAAACCACATCTCATGAATAATTGATTAACAACAATATTTAGTGATGATTGTCACGACAATTCGAGATTAACATCATTGAGTCATGTCCTCGGTATCTAAAATTGTTTTGTGATGTCAAAACATTGGGATTTGATTGTTTTCGTTGGGAAAGGACAACCGGAAGCTGCAGAATCATATGTTAATTATAGTTTTTCATTCGTGTTACGTATGATCGATTGTATATTTAGATTATTTTTGCGTTTCGCGGTTCATTTAACGCGAGAAGATATATCTCCATTCAATTTATCCCTTCTACGTCGTATTTCGAGGCTTCCTTCTTTTTAAATCTTTTTCTCATCTACAAAAAAAAAAAAGGTCCAATGATAATCGCTTCACCGTATTCGCAATGCCTCTGCAGATTGTTATTTTTTTTTTTATTTGGTTTTCGACGTTAATTGCATGTGATAGATTCGATGGAGCCAATTTATGAGAACGTAAGACGCAGGGAGAGTGGAGTTCTCCGTCGAGGATCAGGTAGGATCCCAAAGCCTCCAGGAATCCCAAAATTTCGTAATTTTACAATTTTTATAATTTTTTAATCAAATTCCTGAGCAATCGTTTGGATTTAAACAGATACCAGTGTGGTTTTAACCGAAGACACAGACAGTTTCATAATTGGAGATCGAGTATGGGTTGGTGGAACAAAACCAGGATCCATCGCCTACATCGGAGAAACACAATTCGCTCCAGGAGACTGGGCTGGGGTTGTCCTTGATGAGCCGATCGGTAAATTTCCAGCATCTCGAAAACCCCAACAGCTAGAGGAAAACTCGATGGACACAAAATATTCGTCTTTTCACCCCGAATATTTTTTTTCCTTAACATTTTCCTCTATCTCCATCGAAATCCCCGTTTTCGGTAAATATCTCGGGATCTATCAGAGACAGAAAAATTTTCATGGGATTTCCGGGGCTAGAAAAAAGTTCCAATGAAGATTTCTGTAGCACTTCTTGGTCCTGAGTTATTTTTAATTTTGCGTTGATTTCGATTTTAAGGATGGTTTAGGTTTGATTAGAGATTAATTAACGATTATTAATTAAGGAAAAAATGATGGGTCTGTTGCGGGTTCTCGTTACTTCCAATGTGCCCCGAAACATGGAATATTCTCACGTCTCACAAGACTCACCAGATATCCACTCCAGGAGAGCCTGATGTCACCACCTGAATTGAAAACACCACCAGCAAACAAATCACTTTCACCATCTCTGAGTAAGGATCGCTACAAGTATTCATATCGTCGCCCTTAGAGATTGCACAGCTTCAGCCTAGACCCCTAGAGCAAGCCCTAACGATTGCACAATACCAATAATTAATTCAATTTCAACTGGAGAAATTCACATTTGAGTTGAAAAAATTTATCTATCAATTGTATAAACAATTCTAATGAACAATTACTAATTTTTATATGGCATATTGATTCTGGTGATGAGGAAGTAGTTTAGACGATAGAAGATGAATTGTTATTGATTTTATGAACGGAAATAAATGATTGGGAATTGGTAGATGTTTCGATGACGAGTTTATCTTCGACTACCTCGAAGGATTTGAAGATTGGGGATCGAGTTGTTGTGTCGTCCAGCCAGGGGAGTAAGACTGGGGTTCTCAGGTACCTGGGGGTCACCGATTTTGCTCCTGGGGAATGGTGTGGAGTCGAGCTGGATGAAGCCCTGGGGAAGAATGATGGAGCTGTTGGAGACAAAAGGTTTCCATGCTGATGATTTTTGAGGGGATAACGAGGAGTTGAAATTCATGCTAAAAGGACTCTCGCGGACTCACCCTGAGCTATGAGAGCCTCGTTGTCCCCTCGACCTCTAGTACCCAGGACTCCAGAATTTCTTTTTCTAAAGTCCTCGGTCCTCAGGTATTTCGAGTGCAAGCCGAGATACGGTTTGTTCGCCCCTTCGCACAAGGTCTCGAGGTCGCCCTCCCGCAAGAGATCGTCCATCGGTCTTGTCCACAAACCAACTGGTGCATCCCTGAATTCCTCACTGAGGAGGAGCGGTTCCAAGGAGTCCCTGACGTCTGTCTCCAGCTTGACGTCAACCTCGACCAGTGTCAGGGGCATCACCACAGCTAGGGTAAGATTTGCTGATTGAGGAGTCGTCAACATCACCAGGACCTCTTTAGAGATCACCAAGTCACTGTTGTACCTCCGCTGATATTTAATTAACTGTAATTTGGCCTTTTAACTGTCCTGTTTTTTTTCTTTTTTAAACTCGATATTGCAGAAAGCTAGAGCGTCCACACCTGGGCAGCGCTCGCTCCAGGTGAGATACTAATTGTTTTTTTTTTCGCTTGATGAACTCATTATTCCCCACGGGATTGGGGAACAAGTGGAATTTTAACAGAATAATGAAAAATTAAAGAATTGAAAATGGGGAGATGTGAAACTATTCGCTGACGAGATACAAGAAGATCCACTTGTTTCCGAATTTCGCTGGTAGTATTTGTAGAATTATTTATTACCATAGAATGTTCTGTTGTTGTATTTTGTGTACCTGTATTTTTCCTGTTGAAATAAACAAATAAATGGAGTACTTGGGGTACCTAGAGTAGATGGGGGGGCTTTATTAATTTTTTTCCTCGTTGATTCTTTGAGGCTTTTGATATTTGGTGGCACGGTTTTCTCGATTATCGGAGATGACTTGGATTTTCAGGAGATGTTGAAAGAAAAACAACAAGAAATCGAGATGCTGAGGAAGGAGAGGGACCTCGAGAGGGAGAGGATCATCAAAGCTGCTACTCAGGCTGATAATGCCGAACAATCGATTATCAATTTGAAAGCCGAATATGAAAAGGTAGATTTCCCTTTTCTCGTCGTTTTCGATCGTATCATCTTTTTCCGCTTGTCAACAGCTCAATCCAGGATTTATAGAATATTTATTGCAAATTGAAAAGTTTTTTTTTGGAAATTCGCTGTGGATTTTCTTCACTTGGTATTTATTTTTCAAATCAGTACCGAGAGGAGATGGAGAAAACAGTAATTGAGGCTCAGATCGCCCTGTCCCAGCTCCTGGAGGAGAAAAATCATCTCCAGTCTCAGCTGGAGGAGGAGAAGCACAAGTGCGAGGATCTTTTATTCCGTTTCGAGGAGGAATCAGTGAATAAAGAAGATATTCAGGTAATAGTCTCCCAGAGACACCCAGAAATCCTTCACATCTTTGGAGATTCAATTTTGATTTATTCAAATGCTTGAGAGCTTTTGCTCCTTCGGTGATGGCTCATGAATGAATTAATTCCCCTGTTTCTTCCTCGATTCATCCCTCCGAGACCTTATGGTATCGCTTTTTTTTTCAAAATATATATATTTGACTGAATTTTTAGATAAAATTTTGCCTTTTTCTATTGAATTTTTGAATTCTTTCTATCCTGTGCTGACGAATTTCCACATTTTCTCAATTTTCATATTTCAGAAGGAAAAAGCTGTACAGAGCGTGAGTATTATCGTGGCGACGCTGTTTTTCTGCACTGCATTCACTGCCATCGCATCATTTATCACTAAAAAAATCAAATGCTTCGGCAGAACACTAATATTAAACTAAAGATCATCAGTTGCACGTGTCATTACTATTTATTTCGACAATTAATAATTATTAATAATTATGTTAAACACTAATGTGAATTCCCACTGCTTCTTGCATTGCATCTATCATTTACTTACGATTGTTGCTGTCTGCGTTCATTATTTATTCAAATTTTTGTTCAACTTTTGTATCTCCAAGTGCCTGCAAATAATAATGTTAATAGAACTAATTGCATCGTGATTATTCCATTTTATTCATTAATTTATTAACTGAATTCAGGGAGGAAGTGCGTCGGAGTTTTTGCGCGGACAGGTATCTCGAAATTTATTGGAGATACAAAAATGTTTTTTGTAGATTTTTTGTAGAGCGTGAAAAGAGCTACAAAAAAGTTTGCGTGAAGATTTTTGAAGCTCCAAGAGTTTTCGAGATACTGGCCTCGGTTTGCCACTTCATTCCTGAATCATTGGTGCCTGGTAATTAATTAGGAATGAAGCTTTATTAATTAGTGAAAAAAATCAGGTGGTAAATACTCAGCACGAGGAGAGGATAATTACTCTCCAGAAGGAACTCTCGGAGGAACGAGAGAGGGTCATCCAGCTCGAGAGCGATAATCTCCGTCTTTTTGAAACGGAAGAGGAACTCGTCAAACTCAAGGCTGATTTCACTGCCATATCAGGTCTTTTTCCATTTGTTTTTGTTTTTCGATTTCCTTTGCAGGTCCTGGAGTTTTAACGATATTTCCGGTTCACAGAAATGGAGAATATGAACCTCTGCCTCAAGGAAGCGAAGATTACGCTGGAAAATCAGATGCTCGAGAGGAATAACACGATTTCAGAGCTCTCATCGCAGATTGAGGAACTCCAGCAGAAGCTGAAGAATCGCGAGGAAATTGAAGAGACGCATATTGAAAAGCTCTCAGAAAATTTAAGCAGAACCGTTGAGGAGAAAAATTCCATCATTGCGAAGATTTCGGAGGAAAATGCTGGAAAGACTCAGGCCATGGAGCTGGAGATTGAGAAGCTGAAGGTAGTTATTGATAATCTCACGAAGGAAAAAGTCTTGGCATCGGAGTTCCAGCAGGGGGAATTCAGAAAAATCGTGGAGGAAAAGGAGAAACTGGAGGTGGAGAACTCCAGAAAAATTGAGGAGATCGAGAGAGTCCTCGGGGAGAGGGAGAGGCTGGTGGGAGAGAAAGAAAAATTGGAGGTGGAGAATTCCAGTAAAATCAAGGAGTTCCAGGTAATTGTGGAAGAAGAAAGAGAAAATGCGCGAAAAATTCAAGGGGAAAACTCGATTTTGGAAGCGGAAGTGAGGAATTTGAGGGATGAGCTGGTGGAAAAAACGGGGAAATTAAATGAAAATTCGAAGAAGATTGAGGAAGAAAATTTGGAGTTGCAAAAATCACGAGAAAATTTGGAGAAAGAGCTAGTAGAATTGCGGGAAAAGTTTTCCGCAGTTTCAAATGATCGAGGGGAGAAAATCGTTGAGTTGGACAGGGTTGGAAAATTGTTGGAAAACCAAGGGGAGGAGAATAAAAAATTGACGGAAGAGGTGCAGGAAAGCGCCGGAAAATTCGTGGCCTTTGAACAGCAAATAAATTCCTTGAAGTCTGAATTAATGGAGAAAATGGAGGAAATTAAAAATATGACCGAGACGATGGCGGAGCTGAGGGATAACGTCACGATCTTCGAGCAGACCAAAACAAATCTCGAGAGCGAGATGAAAATGCACGAGTCAACAATCTCAGAGTTAAATAAAAAGGTGAAATTTACCGAGGAGAAAAATCAAGAGTTGATTGGGGAAAAGGAAAAACTGGAGGAGAAAATTTCGAGGGTCATCTCGAGCTCTGAAGGATCCTCCGAGCAATTGAAGCAGTACAATGAGGAATTGAGACTGAAGGAAAAGGAAAATGGAAAATTTAAGGAGAAAATATTTGACTTGGAAAATTCAGTTGAAAATTTCATGGGGAAATTAAAGAAGAGTGAGGAAGATCTGGGGAAAATTTCCGGGAAACTCGCGACAACTGAGGAAAACGAAAGAAAATTATCGGAAAAATTGACCGAAAAGGAGAAGTTGTGCAATAACTTGAGTGGAAAACTGAAGGAAAATGAAGAAGAATTTCGGAAACTCATGGAAAAGCTTAAGCAAAGCGAGGAAAATTCCACAAAACTCAATGAATCTCAGGAAAATCTTCGGAAAATCCAGGAAAAATTGAGGGAGACCGAGGAGGGTTCTGGAAAACTCAACGAAATGCTGGAGAAAAACCAGGAAATTATTCAGGAAAGGATAGAGGAAAATGAGAAATTAATTAATGAAATTAATTCTAAAGACTCAATAATCGAAGAATTGTCGAAGAAAATTAAAACTTTCGAAGGAAATTCTGCCAAATTGACTGAAGAAAACGGTCAACTCATCAAGACAATCTCAGATCTCGAGAGGAAAACCCAGACTTTGGAGGAAAATTTGGAAAACTCTCACCAACTCTCAACCTCAAACATCGAATTAAAAATTTCTGAAGATATTCTCAAAGCAAAAATTGAAGAGCTCAACGAAAAAATCAGGGAACTCATTATAAAAGTCGAGGAGAAAACCTCCGAGTCCACCAGTCTCTCCTCCACCTTGGAAAATGCTTCGGAAAATCATAAAAAATCTCAGGAGAAGATCGAAGAGCTGAGCAACGAAATAATTTCCCTCACATCGCAGCTCCAGTCAATGAGGGAAAACTCTGAAAAACAAGAGGAGATCCTGAGGAAAACCGAGAGTCAGGCCGAAGCCCTTAAACTTTTCCAGGAAAATCACAAAAATTCTCAGGGAAAAATGGATGAGCTGAACTCTGAAATCTCTTCCTTAAAATCCAAACTAGTCTCCTTCGAGGAGATTTCAGAAAGGCTGAAGGAGTCAGAGGGAAAATTGTCTGAAAAAATCCAGGAGAATTGCGAACTCTCGCAGAAAATTTCCGAGGTCGACGAGAAGCTGAGGAAAATTGAAATTGAAAATGAGGAGTTGAAAAAGTCGTCGAGTCTTAAGACTTCGATGATCGACGAACTGGTGAGCGTCGTGGAGACATTGAAGTCCTCAGAGAGTGAATCCCTCAAGAATTTGGAGCTAGAATTCTCCCAGAAGCTCAATCAGAGTGCCGAGGAACTCCAGGCTCTGAAAAAAGCCCATGAAAACTCAGAAATCAGTCTAAAGACCATTTCTGATGAGAATGAAAGACTTAGGAAAACAATTGAGAACTCAGAGGCCCATATTAAAGACCAAGAGGCGAGGGAAATCGAGAGGAACGACGAAATGAATTCCAAGAATCAAATACTCGAGAGGAAAAATTCCGAATTAATTTCAATGAGTGAAAAACTTGAGGAGAAAAACTCCGAACTCCTCAAACAAAATCACAAGCTGGAGGAGAAGAACTCCGCCTTGAATTCGAGGCTCTCGGAGATGTTGGAGGAGACGAAGACCTTGAAAATATCTAATAACAATCTCGGGGCACTCGATGAGAAAATCCAGAGCAATGGTGACACCAGGAGCATGAAGAAAATCCTGGAGGACAATGAGACATTCAAGGGACAGATTGATTTTCTCAATTCAGTTATCGTCGATATGCAGAAAAAGAATGAAGGTCTCAAGCTGAAGATCGAGGTCTTGGAGATGGGGGTGCCTCCGGCTGAGGCTGACGACTACTCCAGGACGACTCTGGCCCAACCCGCCCCTAGGTTGTTCTGTGATATATGTGATCAGTTTGACCTCCACGAGACTGAGGATTGCCCAAAACAGGCTCAGGACTTCGAGGTGGAGAAACCTGTGAAGAAGACGCCCGTCAAGGCACCCAAGCAGAGGGATTACTGCGAACATTGTGAAATGTTTGGACATGACACTGCTGATTGCGACGACGCTGAGACCTTCTGATCCTCAAAACTGCCGGAATTATCGAGCCTCGCTTGCCAGTATTGGAGTAGGAAATTCAATTACGCTAGGAATGAAGAAATTCATCTCGGAATTTTAGCAAATTTCATATCTAACAAATGCATCTTGAATATTACATTCATAAATTAATTCATGTAATTTCAATTAACAGACAATTCAGAGGAATTTTCAAATGCAAATTTAATCCGAAATTCAAAGAAAATTCGCAACATAAAGAATTAATAGCAGCTTTTAGTGGAAGTTCTAAAGAAAAATTCCAAAAACCTACGAAAAACAAAAATGCGTTGAATTTATAAAGTATATTTTTATATTGTTATTGTATTCCACGAATAATGTCTTCCCATTTAATTTCCGTTAGCGTTTTTTCAAAATTAATTGATCAAATAATTATTCTCCTCAAAAGGAAGACCTCGCTTGCCTTTTTATTGGAAATTCTACAGGATGATGGCGTGTAAATAGGGTTGAGATCGATCTATTTAATATTTATTATCGATTACGTGTACATAAGACTTCTTGTCATGTTCCTTGCACGCAGAGTTGTTGGAGAATTTTGACACCAGAATTTGCAGAATTTAAGGCGCAATAACGTTTTGTAGAAGTTTGTCAATAAATTATGGTTTATTTACGAGTTTAAGTCAGTTTCTTAATTTCTAAGTATTTATACGGGTTCTTGGCTTTAATCTAGACCTTCTTTCTTCTCTTTTATTGCATCCTGGAATGAAGAAATCGAAGAAATTAATAATGAAAAATAAAAAGAATTGAGGAGGTGAATAAATCGTTCTTTACCTTGAATCTCTCCTCAAAGAGCGACAATTCTGCAATTAAATCTGTAATTGCGTGCATGAATGCCTCGTGGGGGGTGTAATCCGATGTCGTCTGAATCCTGATGACGAATTTGTGCTCCAGAGGATGAGGAACCTTGTAACCAGCGAAGAGAACGTGGGGATCTTTTAATAATTGACTGAAAAAAAAAAAAAACATTATCTTCTGAATCCTTTCGTTAGAGCGATAATCAAACTTTGAGAATTCATCAATTTACTTTCTGATCATGTTTCCAAGGGTGTGATCCTCTTTATTAACCGTGAAAATCGCCGCATTCGGCACTTTTGTGTCCTGTTCCTTGATAATTCTAAAAAAAAAAATTAGAGGACCATAAATAAATTAAGATTTCCTCATTAATAACCTCAAATACTAACTTTTTCTCCCCATCGTACAATAGGAACGATTCAAACGTTGGAGGTGCATTCATCCTGTGAAAATTCCTCTAAAAAATGCCAAGAGATCTTTCTAGTTCTTCAAAATAATTCCAAAATCATGGAGAATTGTTTTTCAAGTTTGTAAAGCAGTAAAATCAGCGGAATTGATTGATACATAAGAGAACCCCAATTTTTCTGATTTCTCCCTCCGGCATCATGTGACTTAAGTGGTTGCCGAGGTATTCCGGAATTGGCCGAGAGGGTCTCCCCCTGGGGGGGAATTCCCCGACGTCTCAAAAACTCCTCAGTTGTCAAAATGGCGGGCGAAGGATCAGCAAGTGTTAATCCAAAGGCGGAAATTGTTCGTGGACAAGCGTTTGAGGTTGGCCCTAGGTACACGAATCTCGCCTACATGGGAGAAGGTGCCTACGGAATGGTTGTGTGAGTAAAAAATCATCCCCTACGAATTGCTGGAGTACCCCTGGCCTACCACCCCCCACCCCCTTTAGCCAGAGTGATAAGAGATTTTTTTCATTCCAAGATAAATTGGTTTTTCGTCACCAAATTGACATTTACGAATTATTTGCTAAACTTTTAAATGGGTTTTGGTGATTTGGGGGTGTTTTTTTGGGGTAGCACACCTTTCGGGTGTGTTGGGAGGATTTTCCAGGCCCCGGGGGCCATTCTACAGAATTTGGCGGCAGATTTGAAGTGTGTCACACCCTTTTTGAGGAAATTAAAATGGTGATAAGGATGTGGTGATAATAAGGCTCTATTGCAGGTCTGCTTATGATAATGTGACGAAGACGAAAGTAGCTATTAAGAAAATTTCGCCGTTCGAGCATCAGACGTACAGCCAAAGGACTCTGAGGGAAATCAAAATACTCACGAGGTTTAAACATGAAAATGTAAGGATTGTTAAGGCATTATTATTATTATCTCGGTAGCAGGTGGATGTAAGGGAAAATTTCGAGTAAATGGAGAAAATGCTATTTTTTGGTTTCAGATCATAGATATAAGGGATATTCTGCGGGCGCCAACAATAGACCAAATGAAGGACGTTTACATTGTCCAATGTCTGATGGAGACAGATCTGTACAAATTGCTAAAAACCCAGGCAATAAGCAATGATCACATATGTTACTTCCTTTACCAAATATTACGAGGATTGAAGTACATACATTCGGCGAATGTACTCCACAGAGACTTAAAACCGAGTAATTTACTGTTGAATACCACTTGTGACCTTAAAATATGTGACTTTGGCCTTGCCAGAGTCGCTGATCCTGATCACAATCACGCTGGCTTCTTGACTGAGTACGTTGCGACAAGGTGGTACAGAGCACCCGAAATCATGTTGAATTCCAAGGTACACCAAAATCCAATTATCCAATAAATACCCATTAGACCATAATTATGATTTTGTTTTTTAATTATGTAATTGCAGGGGTATACAAAGTCTATTGACATTTGGTCAGTCGGTTGTATTCTCGCGGAGATGCTGTCTAGACGAGCAATATTCCCTGGCAAGCATTACTTAGACCAGTTAAATCACATTCTTGGAGTTCTCGGATCGCCTTCACCCGAGGACCTTGAGTGCATCATAAATGAGAAGGTAAATTGTTGAATATTTCCATTTATTTTTTCACACCGATGTAATCATCAGTCGTATTTTTATCGATGAATCGGCACTTGAACAAACGATTCCTAGAATTCTTGGAATTAATCTCGTAATTCCCTATGTCCTAATCATTAATATGCATTAATTCATTATCTCCACAAATGGAATTCACAAGTCCATTTATTCCGCGATAAATATATCAAAATTCATTCATTTGTTTAATTGATTTATTAAGAGCGTCAATTATTAATGGGAAATGATTGGTTTAAGGCACGAAGTTACCTCCAGTCATTGCCGTACAAACCCAAGGTGCCATGGACCTGTCTCTTCCCCAATGCTGATCCACGTGCACTCGATTTACTCGATAAAATGCTGACGTTCAATCCCAATAAACGCATTGTAGTCGAGGATGCACTTGCACATCCGTATCTTGAACAGTATTATGATCCTGCTGATGAGGTAATTTCAGTACGCTCGAATGATATTTTTTCGAGATAAATCAGCATTTCTGGAGTGATGAGTTTTTTAATTTGTTAAATTATTTGAGATATCTAATAAAATTTATTCCTCAAAGCCCGTAGCGGAAGAGCCCTTCAAATTCGACATGGAGCTAGACGATCTTCCAAAAGAAATGCTGAAACAGTTGATATTTGAAGAGACAACTCAATTTGCACGAAACCAAGAGAATGCCATGTAGTCGTACATGCCACTTTCATAACTGACGTGTATCTACGACTCAGACACACCAAAGCGCAGAATTAATGATCAACCCAGCCCAAATAAGAGAATAAAGGTTTATCATTAATGAAATCGCCGAAATTCATTAAGATTATTCATATGAACTTTTTAAATGTTCGAAATTCACTCTTGGACAGCTGTTGTGCTGTGGAGTTTCGAATTATCCATCAGATAAATCTCTCATTTCCCCAAATTTATTTTTTCAACTCAAGGAGATACAGAATAGATTAACTCGATAATAATTTTTGTTTGATTCCTTTTTTTTCCCGATATAAATTCAACGATTGGAGAAATTCAGTCGTTGACTCGTGCGCTGTCTGTGATTTTTATTGTATAAAAGGATTGAAATGGGGAGAGAGTTTCAATTTCAGTTTTATTCCATTATCAGCCCTACCCCGCCCGCCCCTTTACCCCCTTCAAAATTTTAGGTGAAAATACTCTAGCTTTAGAATTTTAACAAATAACTGAATGATTTAAATGGTGAGGAGATAAATCATCTGTTTATTGTCTCAATGTGTGAATACTTGTAACTTCGATAAATTCCTTTTTAAATAATTAAAAAAAAACGTAACGAAAAATAATACGAAAACACAAAAAAAGAGAATTAATAATAATCATGAATTTCTTCCATTCCATCTTTTCGAATTTTTGTGTAAATTAATTCGTCCAGCGATTCCTCATTGTTAAAGTGCATTTAATCGTTTAAGGAAAAATCAAGGAAAATGGATGAAAAAAAAATATTATAAATATATATTGATCATCTCAGGCTATTTATCAACTCGTAACGGTTTTTTTCTGAGTAAACGAGACGAAAAATAATAGAACGCGCATCCGTTCTTGTGTGTTGCATTGGTATGAGGAAAAAAAAAACGAGTTTTCAAGGTTTTTTTTAGATTTGATGGAGTTTATCCGAGGTAATGGAGGTATAGGAAAATGTCCACTTGACATTTTCCTGCCGCAAACAACAGCTGTGAATTTTACGCGGGGCATTAATCACCATATCAATTGGTGGTGATTAATTAGCCGATGAAGTGATAGGACGTGGAGGAAAAAAAATTAATATTGCGTTTATCTCGGTGATGAAGCTGTTTAGGAGGAAATAGTGTACCACATTTTTTGTAAGAAATTTCATTCTGTACAAAAAAAAAGTTGTACAGCGGCGCTTAAATATCGGGTCGACTGTTTACCTAAAAACTCCTCAATCAAAAAACTACTTTGACTCAAAGAATTGAATGCGAATAAATTGATATAACTAATTATCGAATATCTTCTGGCCTAATATACTTAAACGTTATGTATGTGTATTTGTTGTTGTTGCTGAATTCATATCTCAATATCTCAAGCATCAGAACCAAAAATTGAACGGAGGAACTAAAATCGACTTGAAATAACAAAAAAAAAAGATGAAAAAAAATCAGAGTGTGAGACGTAGACTAGATTCCAGTAATTCCACGAGAGATAAACGCTTAAAGTTGCACTATTTAAATTATCCAACCAAAAAATCACCACCGAGTAATTGAATAATCGATTTGTTGGCTGCATTCCCAGAAAATTTGAAGAAACATTTTTCAAGACTAATGAAACCAACGCGCTGCCTTCGAAATTCGATGAAAAAAAAAAATTAAGTGAGAACCTAATGAATTATTATCATTAAAAAAAATAAAGAGGACAATTAAAATGATGAATAAATAAACTCAAGTTCAGATAGGAGAGGAAAATGATGTAGATGTGTGGAATCAGGGGAGTTGAAGGCCGAGTTTGTAGATTAGAATTTAAATTGAATACCTAGAGATGAATAAAGCACGAACAGGCGAATGATCAAAGTCGACTAAGAGTACCTTGAGATACTAGATTAGTTTAGGTGTTTTCAATGGTTATTTTTGTGACAGCTGTCTTCCCGGACAATGTGCCAGTTTTCCCCGAGAGTTTTCACCCAGAGATTATTGTTCAGGATTATTTTTCATTTCTGACGGAATCATTGAGGGCCGGAGGAAGTCACTACCTTTTTTTCTCTTATAAAAAATTGATATTCCAATTTCACTTGAGATTTTCAGTTTATCCGTTTTATATTGTAAAATTCCTTTATGCGTAAATCGAAAAATTCTGCAGGATTGAACTGAAAATGTGAAAAATTTCTGTCTCATTTCACTCTAGCCCTCAAAAATCCCCCCAAAACCGAAAGAAAATCGAAAATCCTTCACCCCAGAATTACGAGAATGCATAATGAATGAGTGTACCAAAATATCACGGCACAAAATCAATTTTTTGAATTCATGTGGTTGTAGCCACGAGAGATGATTTAAAAGAATAAGAAAATCTGTGGATGTAGCCCTGAACTCAGTGGCTCGAGGATATTTTTTAGGTGTTTCAGTGGTTATTCCCTCGATTGTACACGAATTTTTTACAATAACCATTTACTTTGGTCTTGAAAAAAAATCCCAAGTTAATTACCACCAGATATTGAACAGAAAGAAAATTATTTCATTCGAATTTTTGATAATTTCTTTCCTCTGGACTATTAAAAAAACAACACTATTGTTAATCAATGTGAATTGTAAATGTATCAAAGAAAAATTAATTGTCAATTTACTGTAATGACGAGACAAAGTTGCATTATTCGAAGTATTATTGTGCTAATGGAAATTAAAGTGGTTTTATTGACCAATTGAATTCAATTACGCCTGATTAATTATTCATTGCACGCAGAAAGGTGAGGAAATAATAATAATGAATTACCAGTGAAAATTCGTAAGAAGGTGATGAAATTTACGGATTGCAGACTCGTCTCTCGATTTTTATCTTTGTTTTTTATTATGTCCTCGGTGTTTTTATCATGCGTTTTGTCAATTATCGTGAAAAAATGTCTTAATTTACATAATGTAATTGTCGCTATCGCAGATTGCGATGCAGCAATACGTGTAAAAAATTATTCCGAGTCATTTCTTTTCTCGTATTTTTCATTTTTCACTTCTATCCTCAGGGGAGATCGCTCTCTTTTGTGAAGACCCAGACGAGTCCTTAAGTCTGTCAATTTCCTGGGATTTCCGCTGAAAAAAAAAACCAACGAATCATTATGAGAAATTAAAATATTTACTGAATTGATTAATTAACATCTCATTAAATTCATCTTACCTCTCTCGTGAGGTATCATTGAGTCTCGCCCAAACAGTGGAAGCAACTCTTGGTTTAGACCTTGGAACGACTTTAATTACACTCCCTTTTGGACCCTGGATCTCCTTCACAGCGATCTCACTATCACTGCTGGACTCCTCCTCTTCATCCTCCTCCTCCTCCTCCTCCTCAACCACCTGAGCATCCCCCTGGACATCCTCCCACTCTCCCTCCTCCTTCTCCACCTCCTCGGGCGCAACTTCCTCGACATCCTCCTCCCTCCTGGCTCGATATTTGTCCGGAGTATTAGTCACGATCACCTGTATGTCCTCCCTGTAAATGGTAGGTGGTCGTCTCCTCCCCAAACGAGACCTAAGATCCGCACCCTCCTCCTGTTTATGCCTGCTCAACTGCTTGAGCTTCTTCTTCCTCACCTTTTCCTCCTCGTCGTCAGCATGCATCCTCATTCTCGGGACTTTACTCTTTCTCGCCCACTCCTCCTCACTGTCAGAGCTCTGAGATTCTTCTGGGGATGACTGCACATCTCTCTTCTCGGTTTCCATGTGCCTTGAGCCCAATCTGAATTTTACATTTCCTCGATCAAGTCGCTCTGGAAGACCTCTCCTCACGTAATTGTCCTCCACGTCCTCGTGACTCCCCCAGCTCTCTGATAATTCACCCCAGGGATTTTTCCCTCGTTCCTTATCTTCCTCATTCCCTGACGTTTCACTCGGTCTCCTCGGTCTCGAGTTTTTTATCTGCTTGTATTGCCTTTTTCTCGATTCTGTTAATATTCCTCTCATCCCTCCAAAATTCGGATTTCCATATTTCTTGTAGTATTCGCTCATTTTCTCAGCCCTGGGTTGTTTCTTGTCATTCCTGGTAGCAAACCTGAGGAAAATTCCTTTAGATTTAGCAAAATCCACTCCCTTCCTCCACAATCCTGGGGGAAGAGGGCAGTCAATGTCCTTGAGACAGATCCCTTCGTTCTTTGTGTCGTTCACCTTCACCAAATCATCCTCATGGGTGTATTTACCCTTCTCTTGTTCCTCGAGATGATCTGTAAGCCCGATGATCCTCTTGGAGAGGCCCAGGAGGGCCCTAGCAGCTGACACATTGTCCAACCAAACAACATTACAGGATACGTCGTTTATCCACTCGATGGCAGCTGCTGGGTACTGCTCAAAGTACTTGAAGACGTCTTTGGTGCTCATCTCCTCAGTTCCCCTCATGTGGAGAACATTGAGCCTGATGTTTCTGGGATTCTCATTGTCCTCAGTAACTCCCAGACTTGAGTACAGACCATCCTCGTTCTCCTCCAGGTTGTTGCTCAGGCCAAATCTCTTTGCACGTTCCTGCATTTTCTTTCTCTCCTCCTCCGAGAAAATGTCAATTCCAGTGGCGAATCCTCTTCTTTTATTCTGATGGCGCGTATCAATCCTCTCCTCGAGGATAACTCCGTCGTCGCTGTCCAGTCCGTCGTCCATCTCCTCGGTACTCTCTTCTCCCAATTCCATTTCCATCAGTTCACCAGCCGCCATTTCGACTTTTATTTTATTACTTTATATGGGTAATTGTTTTTAGTTTATTGGTACATTTTATGCGGCCACCGACAACTTGCCAATACAAACAATTTGACAGGTTAGGGTGACGTGACGTAAGGTATCATACAGGCACGCCCAAAGAGGATTCACTAAAATAGAGGCTCAGCGGCATCGTAGTACTGCACCCCAAGAGAGGGAGGGCGCAACACGCAATCCTGGGGTGCCCATCGAGTCGACGGGGTGAATTTTATTTTCTGCGGTATGAATGCTTTTTGTTTTTTAATTGTTTAACGGAAATTTAGCCGACTAGAACGAGCGGAAGGGGGAAGCCACATCTTGTGGAATTTCAAATGGAAAAAATTATTTATTATCGAGGAGATATGCAGTGAAATTGAACAATTTAACATTTTTTAAACGAAACTTTTTCAATATATATACTACTAATGAAATTTTGTTATTGTAATAGCGCGTTGTCCTAGCGGTAACGTGCTTGCCTACCACGCCAGCGGCCCGGGTTCAATCCCGGCATCATTCATTTTTTTTTTTAAATAATTCTAATTTTTTTTTTGTTATTAAATGGCAAATCAATAGAAATATTGTTTAAAAACTGAATATTTGATAATCGAGGAGATATGCAGTGAAATTGAGCAATTTAACATTTTTTAAACGAAACTTTTGCAATATATATACTCCTAATGAAATTTATTTATTGTAATAATGCGTTATCCTAGCGGTAACGTGCTTGCCTACCACGCCGACGGCCCGGGTTCGATCCCGCCGTCATTCATTTTTTTTTTTAAATAATTTCAATTTTTTCTTTTGTAACTGGCTAATAAATCGAAATATTGTTTAAAAACTGAATAGCTCTTCGATTGTCATGTTCCCCTGATACTTTTACAAAAATTTCGAATTTTTCACTTGCAGTGAAAATTTCAGTGAA